AGTTAAAGTACACATCTTTTGTTAAGTATTTAGGTGCAAACCTGGATCAAATTCTTTTGGCGTCGCCTTTGATGCTTTGCATCAATGCTTTTCTTGTAAATTTTATTGTAATACCTCAGGTAGGGTATGTTCAGTGCTAGTGTGTGTTATGCATTTATTTTTGTTTTATGTTTTACATTATGTGATGCTAGAAATACTGCATAATTATTTGACTGCTGTAATTTAGTAAAGGGAGATATTACTATGCTACTGTTGGTGCAGGACACATGCTGAACTGTACTTAAATTTGTGCCGCGTCACAAAAAAACCAACATAGTGCGTTTGCGACCAGCATGGATCCAGACCAGCCTGCGCATCCGTGCAGTCTGATCAGGGTCCATGCTGTTCACTTACCAACCCTATTACAAGTAGAGAAACTGATAGCGAACAGCATGGATCCTAATCAGACTGTGCGGATTCACAGGCTGGTCTGGATCCATGCCGGTCGCAAACGCACTATGTTGGTTTTGTCATGATGCGGCTCATTTGTTTTTCACATTATGCGGTACTGGATACTGTGTAGTGGTTTATCTCGATACTAACCTTGTATATTTACCTAGTGTGTTAGTTTATGATGAGCCATAGGGTTATATAGGACCCAGTCAAGAGTAAAGTTAAGTAGGCATGGCTATGGTGCAGATAGGTTTAATCAGCTTGTTTAGAGCATATAATCAGACTTCTGAAGTCACTTCATTCATAAATATATACATATCATTATAGAAATATTTACAAGAAATTTTTGTATATTTTTAATTTTTGATTTTTGTAATACTTGTATAAAAAATATTAATAAAATATGGTAACCACATTATGTGTTCTCATTGAATACAAATAATGTACAAGATATGGTCATCTTAAGATTATTTGTTTGTGTTTTTACCTTAGGTATAGCCATGATGGCCCTGAGGTAGCTCACCTGTATATAGCGCCCCCCCCCCCCCCCGGGCCAATTTTTACCCAAGGGCTTTTATTTGTTTATTGAACAGACTTGGTAGACACCCATAAGAAGATGTTTCATGCTAAACATCTAAGTTCTAGCTCATTGGGTTTTTTAAAAGAAGATTTTTAAGTTTTTACTATACACATATAGTTAAAAACAATGACACCCCTGGGGCAGGGCCAGTTTTGACCTCTGGGCTTTTATTTGAACAAACTTTGTAGATAATTCCTAAAAGATGTTTAATGCTAAATATCTAAACTCTAGCTATTTTGGGTTTTTCAAAGAAAGGTAGACACCCATAAGAAGATGTTTCATGCTAAACATCTAAGTTCTAGCTCATTGGGTTTTTTAAAAGAAGATTTTTTAAGTTTTTACTATACACATATAGTTAAAAACAATGACACCCCTGGGGCAGGGCCAGTTTTGACCCCCAGGCTTTTATTTGAACAAACTTTGTAGATATTTACTTAAAGATGTTTCATGCTAAATATCTAAACTCTAGCTATTTTGGGTTTTTTCAAAGAAGATTTTTTAAGTTTTTACTATACACATATAGTTAAAAACAATGACACCCCTGGGGCAGGGCCAGTTTTGACCTCTGGGCTTTTATTTGAACAAACTTTGTAGATATTTCCTAAAAGATGTTTCATGCTAAATATCTAAACTCTAGCTATTTTGGGTTTTTTCAAAGAAGATTTTTAAGTTTTTGCTATACACTAAAAAGGAAAATCAATGACCCCCGGGGCAGGGCCAATTTTGACCCCGGGGCTTTTATTTGAACAAACTTTGTAGACACTGATTAGAAGGTGTTTCATGCTTAATATCTAAACTCTAGCTATATGGGTTTTTTCAAAGAAGATTTTTAAGTTTTTGCCATACACATAAAAGGAAAATCAATGACCCCTGGGGCGGGGCCAATTTTGACCCCAGGGCTTTTATTTGAACAAACTTGGTAGACACTCGCAAGAAGATGTTTCATGCCAAATATCTTAGCTCTAGCTCTTTGGGTTCTTTAAAAGAAGATTTTTAAGTTTTTACTATATGCATATAGGGAAAATCTATGACCCCCTGGGGCTGGGCCAATTTTGACCCCAGGGCTTTTATTTGAACAAACTTGGTAGACACTCACTAGAAGATGTTTCATGCCAAATATCTTAGCTCTAGCTCTTTGGGTTCTTTAAAAGAAGATTTTTTAAGTTTTTACTATATGCATATAGGGAAAATCAATGACCCCCTGGGGCGGGGCCAATTTTGACCCCAGGGCTTTTATTTGAACAAATTTGGTAGACACTCACTAGAAGATGTTTCATGCCAAATATCCAAGCTCTAGCTCTTAGGGTTGTTTAAAAGAAGATATTTAAAGATTTTACTTTTGGTTGCCATGGCAACCATTGTTCTGCATGGAATTAAATTCTTTGAACAATTTTTAAAGGTGACCACCAAAGGAACATTCCTGTGAAGTTTGGATGAAATTGGCTCAGTGGTTTATGAGAAGATGTCATTTAAAGCAAAAGTTTACGGACGGACGGACGCTGGACGAAAAGCGATCACAAAAGCTCACCCTGTCACTTTGTGACAGGTGAGCTAAAAATCTAACCAAACTGTTGATTTAAAGTCATACAGTTATTTTCTGCTTTGGTGATTAAGACCTTTGGTGGTTTTCTGGGTATTATTTCAGGCACAAGCAGGCACCTGTGTAAAACCATCAACTTCCCGTAAGCTGGCTGGATAATCTTTCACACATAAATCAATCCAAAGTCGATGGTGTAATTCAAGTCATAGACCTTAACAACTGTGCTTCTAGCTCATACTTGCACTTGAAAATATGTAACTTGATATGTTTCGCTAAATGAGATTCATACCACCCACAGATGCCCTTAACGGAAATGTAAATTACTTATGTGGCAAAAAGAAATTATCTCTAGTGAAAAGGAAGACAACATTGTACAGATAATTATATCAGTCAACAAAACAAGCTTGAAATTGGTAATTGAAAAGAAACCGGAACTATTTAAACATTTAGTGGTCTGTAGCCAAATCTGAAATCGCCTGTATTAAATGATGTTGCATTTGTGTACAAAATATATAACAATCCTTTGACTTCTTAAAGTTATCATGTTAAAATCCTTCTTTGCAAAAGAGCGAATAAAAATAACTATGTAAATATAAAGTGGTCTGAATCAAAATTAAAACTCAACCTTACTTTATGCTGTTTCGTCATTCTGTGTACCAAAATAATTTCAAACAAGTGGCCGTAAACAATTATCATGCGTATATCAGTTTTTGCAAATTGAAGTTGAAAAAGGCCATAACTGTGTAAATATTTAGTGGTCTGAACCTGTATTTGATCTCTAGCTGTATTTTACAGTATTTGTACCAAAAATAATTTCAATATATTAACTCCTTGAAGAATTATCATCTGAAAACCTTTTTTTTCTTCTTTTTTTTTGCAAAACTGATATTAAGTTGTGTGAACCCAAGTTTGACCTGTATTTGATGTTACGCATGTGTACCAAAAATAATTTCATCCCATTGACTCCTTAACCAGTTATCATCTGGAAACATTTATATTATTGCAAATCTGAAGATGAAAAAGTGGCATATCTATGTAAAGAATTCAGTGATCTGAATATCCAAAATCAAACTTGATCTGTATTCTGCATTCCAAACAACTATTAAAATCCATTGCCTCATTCAAAAGTAATCACCCAGAAACCATGAAGTGGACTGATCAACCAACAAGCTTGCTCCTATATACCCTCCTCCCTATTTACCATACCAGTGTCCTACCTGGCTCTTCTGATCTACAAGTATTTGGGAAGCAAAGAAAAACGTCACAAAATAGTTATATTTAGTTATGTTTTATTTCATTGAAAAAGAAAGATTTATCTTTAATATATAAATTCTTCACAGATCAGTAATGTAAACAATGGTGATGTTCAACATATAAATACAGCAGTTGCCAAAAAACTAAAATTGTGTAAAATATAAAAAAATCTTGCACTATTATAGTCTGATCATTTTCTACAAAGAAATGTATTTTTGTAATAAAATTGAACATGCTTGAGGTACAAATGTATATATAACTGTTACAAAAATAATATAAATGAAAATACTGTTTTGAACACATACAATTCACCATATAGACACTGGTTATTCTGATATTCAAACATTTTAAACACATATTGGCAATACTATCTCCCCACAACATTACGTTTTTATTATATTTCACAACATTTCATACATAATATGAAGATAATTGTAATCTAACCTATATACAAAATTATACATGTATTATTTCTATGGTAAAACATAGCTAGTATAACAGACAATGCATGAAGTAATTTCTTTATGTCCTGAAACACTATGTCAATATAACAGACTCCAAAGTATTATCATGAAATAATTTCTTTATGTCAGATTCATGACACTATGTCAATAAACAATGACTTTAATTTTTTATTAGAGCAATCAGATAGAAATGACTTCTTAGTTGATTTGTCTTTTGAAAATCCAAGAAATAGACTGTCCAAATGATAACTACTTAGCTTCTTGTATTTCTAAGCAAAGTCTTTCAAATTCTATTTGAAGAACCCTATTCTAAGTCAAAACAATTAGGACGAGAAAAACTGGATCACTTGATGAATTATTATTTTTGTCATCAGAAATTATACCTTTACATTACATATCTAGAGATTTCGTTTATAAGTAAATGATTAACTAGCAATTAATTTTTTGATTTAACAGAAAATTATTTCAATGTCATTCTGTCTATATATTGCTGTACAACAGCAACTGTTCTGTTTTAATTCTCTTTCAGAGAGAGGTATAAATGAATCAATAAACGAGTGAGACTCAAACATATCACGAAAATGCAGATGCTATGGAAAAAAGCAGTTCCACATGAATAATTAGGCTTTATTTTGTTTATATATTTATACAAAAAATATAGAAAAATGTAAAATAATCACAAGCAAACATATATTTATATCCATAAATAATCTAAAACACTTTAAATTTGTAAAAAAGACAACCAAATAGATGTACATGCAATTTCATTCTATGAAAACAATGAAATCATCATTAAATATAATTAAAAACAGATATAGTATTTTTTCCCTTATTGGTAGACCTGCAAAAAAAAACTAATTATTACACATCAGGAATTTTTTTCACATATTTTAACTTATATTTTGTTTTTATAAAGATGATAAAAGTTTAATTTATGACCACCTTATGTGTTTCCTATTAAGTTAAGCACGTGAAAAGCAAAGATTGAATGAAAATTCAAACTAATTACAAATTTACATTAACACTAAAATCGTTACATACTGATAACAGAAATAATGGAAAATCCTTTAATCTTTGAATCTTATAAAAAGGTGGCATGACTTAGAAGTTAATATTTCAGACTAGTAACATAAGGACTGCTGGCATCGTGGGTGCAAATCCTGTCAAGGGCAAGCCATTGTTTCCTTTAGCATAGAGCTTCACGCTTATTGTTCAATACAGGTTGGTTTTAATTGAATCTATAAACTTAATCTTCAACAAGGCTCAACTATAAAAATTCTGATAAAATGATAAAATACATCCACAATAGTGCTGCACAAATGCTTAGATAAATTAAGAGAGCCAAATATGCATTTCATTTTACAGATAAATAGTTAAATATACCGATGTAATAATACTTTCTCACTACTATAAAATTGATAAATTCTGCTGTATCATATAATATTTATACTAACATATATTGCACATTAATGTACATTCAAAACATGTTTGCTATATACTGAAAGGGTACTAGTAAATACCCAGAATATATTGCTATAATATTAAATATATTTTATTGCCACCAGTTTTTAAATCATAAATATATCAAATTTCCACAAAAAACAGTGTATTACAAAGATATATAAAACCACACTATACAGGTGCTTACTTCATTAAAATCTTTCTTAAATATTTCCTTTAATAGATGAGATTCCTTCACCCATTTACTGGCCTCCAACTAACATAAAATATTAATTTTCTCTGCTCTCACCAGTTATCAAGAAAGTCGAAACCGGTTTTGGACAGATTTGATGCATCCAATTCATCAATTTGACCTGTAAACTGATCTTCATCAATAGATTTTTCAACATATAGGTACTCGTCCTGGAACTCATTCTGAGAACCAGATAATAAATTGGACTGCTCTACATTTTCACCTCTATCCATTGCAATTGGGTCTGGTTCTTTAATCAAACTCTTGTATGGAGATGGTGTGGCACTACTTAACTCCTCCTCCTCTTGACCATTTACGAATGATGACCAATTTGTTCCTATAACTGGATTGTCAAAAGCCATTTCATCATCATCTTTGTACTGAACAAGAGACTGTGATCCAGTTTCAGAATCTGATTTTTTAGATGATGACAGGAGGCTTTTGGAAGGTGATTTACTTACTGATCTCTTCCTTCTTGATGGTTTGACAGGATTTACAGATTCATGTGAGGGTGATGTTGCTAGTATCTCCCCGCTGGAGACAGAGGAACATCTGTCTCCTACAATACTTGGAGAGCTGGATAAATCATCAACACTTCCAGTAAAAGCATAGTTAACTTCCTCTGGTGTCTTAGATCTACTTGTCATCAATGATTCTCTTGATGTTGCTGACTTTGTAGGACTTGTGCTTCTTGATCTGAAATGGTGTTATATTAAAAAATTAATTTACAAAGATATTATGGAACTTAAATTTAACCCTTCATATATAAAAGTATAGGACTAATGGTTAACATGTCAGCCTCTTGGTCCTTACTTCATGGCTTCCAGGCCTACTAGGTACTTACAGTAGATTGTTTCCTCATATGATAACAGACCAGTACTAGTGAACTTAATTCAAGGAAGCTGCCTCAAGAAAAGTTCAAATTAGCTAAATACTTTCTTCACAACAAACTTTTAAAAAATAATGTTTTAATAAGTTCCAAAGATATTCAACACAAAAGTTACTCTTCTGAGTGAAAATGGTGTCATAATTCCTTCTGACAGGTCTTAAAAAAGATAGATGTATCAGAGACATAGATAACAGAGATAAGCAGCTCCTATATACTCCATTGAAATATCACTCATGCCTATCAAAAGTGAAAAATTAGGCATTTTGAAGCAAATAAAAATTAATTGATGTACATTTGATCCTTTAATATTATATACCGTTTGAAAGGTAAATCTTTTATCAATTGCTGCATGTTAAAATATTGGTAACTTTCCATGCCTTTCACTTAGAAAAATATAGCAGAACATACCCACTGAGCCTGTTTTTTCGTCATTAAATAGTTTTGTAACACAAATTATTAAGTAGTTCTCTTTAGAAAAGTGATGTATCATTTATTTAAATGGGAACTGTAAATATTTTTACCTGCAGCCATAGACAAATGCATAAGCTTTCAGAAAATGTATTATTTTACTGATTTTGATATCTGGTTAATAAGTTTTACTTGCTACAAGTTTGTAGTTTAGCAGGCACGTGTGATATTTTAACTGGCAAGGAAGTTGCCTATCTGTTATCTATGTCTCTGGATGTATGTACAAAATAAAATGATATACAGTTGACTCTCGGTAACTCAAAATCCAAGGGACTGGGCATTTTACTTCGAGAGAAACGGAATTCGAGTAATGTGGAACTACCGCCATTACGTTGACATTCGTACATGTATATACATGTGCCTGATTGAATGTGTAAAGAAGTAGGTTTGTTATTGTTGTTAGCGACAATGCTGCAATATTTGACCATTGAAATGACGGTAAATCACTTACAACAACAAATTATAAATGAACAAAAATATATAATTCAAAATTTAATACATGTATATTAATAGTAACATAAACACACAATTATATTTGATTTAATTGATCATCGGACGAAAACGAAATTAGCAACTATCGTGAACCGGAAGTACCATTTAATGTATGCAATATGACGGAACATTAATTATACAAATGTCATTTACATTGATAACACACATCAATACCTAGGCTATTATTGGACTAACACCCGTCAGACTGGCACGAGTCAACTTTCTTGAAATGTAATTAAATTTTAAATTTAGTTATCTAACTGTTAAAACCAATTAAGTCCTGAAACGGATTAAAGCCACTTTTACGACGTGTTAATAATACATGATGACCGGCAATTAAAAATTACTATGAAACGTGTAAATCACGAGTGACAACATCTCACCTTGATGTCGCCGACCTTTGATCAGTCGGCTGTTTTCACACTTCGACTAATTGAGATGAAAATATTTTGGGCTTTAATTGACGGGACCAAATTTTCTTTTCGACTAAACAGTAGTCTCGGTAAGTCAAAATTTGACCTAAGCGAAGTTAAAATACAAAAATAAAGAAGGAAATTTGACGGGACTTAAGAAATTATTTGACTAAGGCGGAATTTTGAGTAAAGCGATTTTGACTTATTGAGAGTCAACTGTATTTGACAATGATTCACAGAACTTTATTCTATGATAATGATTGACCTGTTTAAGAAGTCTGGTTTCTTCATTCCTTGTAGGAAAGGTGACTCCCATATACTTGTGCCTGTTTGTACTGAAAACTCCCTGTTTTCATCTGTTCTTTCTTCTATAGATTCAGATGGCTGGTTAATGCTTGTCTCAACTTTCTTTCCTTTAGATGCTGGTTTACTACACAGTGCATCTGCTTCTAGGTCATCTAGTGTAAGATCTTGCTGACTCTAAAATCATTAAATTTTACATTAAAATAAGACTTTTATTTCATAAAAATAAATAGAATTCCAATATCGAAATATTGCAGTTTTTTATAATGTAATTATATTTATGGTTATTATCAAGAAAGCATGTTGTGTTTGGCTATGATGGCCATGATAAATAATGCACTGATTCTCAAATGCTTTTGCCGATGATTATTGTTGCAAGATGAGCCTTCATTAAAAAGACTCAGTTCTGAACCTTGAGTTGTGAGCAGCTAAATACAATCTATAAAAAGGCACTAATATATGTAATGCAAGTACATAAGAGATGACACTGTATAGCTTACCTTTGTCCGCCAATTAAAAGGAGATGAATGCTCATCTTGCCATGTCCAGCACTGAAAAATAATTTACAATGACAGCTCTAAAAATATTTTATATCACATTATTTTTATATACTTACTTAGTTAGCGCCTTTAAAGGCCGACGTCTGTGTAATATCAGTCTGTAAAGTTGTCCGTCTTGCAGTCGAAATATTGAGACTACCCGGGGCATAAAATTTTAAAAACAACATTCAATTTTTCCAATGTTGTCATCTTGATTTTTCCCAACCACAGATGTATAACTACGCATACTCTCATTCAAATACTCAAGTTGAAAAATGCAAATTTCTTAAATTACTAAGTAAAAGGCAATTACTTTACAAAATTAACAAACACTGAAAAAATCCACAAGCAATTAACTAATTTTAATTTTCTTGCGAATCTGGCGTGCAATCATTTTGTTCCCGTTTAACATTAATGGAAGTTAGATATATCTGATTCACTTGGAGATGGAATGACTAATTTTGGGCTTGGTTGTCTTGGGTCAAGTTAGACTTACACCGCTTTATAACTTACATCATTTTCAAAGTCAACAACAATCTTCTCTCCAGTTTCAACTTTGAGCTTAGGGAAAGACTTGGGATATGAATGAACTTTTTCTGTGTCAGCATATCGCTGTCTAATAGAGTTGTCAACCAGAAAATCATCAATCAATGCCTCTTGTTCTTGCCAGTTTAATTCATCCCAACGTCCCTTTAAAGCGCTTTTCAAATTTCCTTCATCTTTTATTATCTTTCTCGCGAGCGGGTTAATGGAAGAAAAGTACGCAATTGAACGTTGTTCCATTTTTCCTTTTGCTAAAGATATTAATTTAGTTAATTTTTCTTTGAAAAAAAAAAAATAATACCCCGGAAGTAACTTTCTAGTATAAATACTCCACCTTACTGTTAGGTACAAACATGTATAAAATCCACAAAACCCGTAATATTTCCGTATATTTATCGCAAGTCCCTTTGAAAGTGGTTAACTAACTTTTGTGTGCAAATTGTAATCGAATGAACAACGTGATCACTGACTCTAACAGAAATAGTAACTGAGAAATTTTATCACGTATTAAAAAATTTGAGTAGTCACTAATAGTCTGATATCAAACTTTATCAATATAAAGGTCTTTGTCCAAAGTTGAGTTAGTGTACTATTTCAGCTTCATATATATGTGATATATCCATAAGAATATCCCGCTCTGTACTCATAGCCAAAAAAATGAAAAACAACAAATATAGAACAAAATTTATAATACGGACATTCTTTTAGTTACATGTACTAGTACATTATTAATAGTTAAAATACTCCAAAACAACACATATTTCTTTAATCTTTACTAGTTTTGACATTATTAATACAAATATGAAACATTATTTCTTTAAAAAAAATCACTTTCGTTGTATTAAAAAAGAAGTAGTTTAAACATATTAGCTTTATCTTAGAATCAGATAACTCGACATAATATGATAAAATGATAACTTGACCTAAAAAGAAAGCAATAACCTAGATCTAATTAACTTTTTAACGAATTTTAGTCTGATTTGGTTAAAAATATTTCTAACGTTTCTAATACTTCTAATATTTCTCATTTCGCATTTTATTGTTGAAGCTCTAAATTTAAATTTAAGTCAACAAAGTTTTTATCCAAGTCAATAAAATGATGTTGGACATCAACGTAACAGATTTGTCCATGCAAAATTTTGTCCTGATAAATCAACTATAATTTATTTTTAAAAATCTGTCAAAACGTATTCGCGAGTATCTGACCAAAGGCACAAAACAGACCAAATTAGGCACAAAACAAGAATTTCATATAATTATCCAATGGTTTACATCACTGTCGTATAATTATAATACAATGTCCTTAGAGATAATACAAACAGAAAATATAAGTGGAAACTTTAGAATGAACAGAACATAGTAATAATAAATTAAAGATTTGTGACAAAGCATTTTTAATACTTTCGATTACGACACGTTAATGAATATTTTATCAAACAAGAAATTACGAACTTTATAAAGTACGAGTTCATATAAAGGGAAAAACTAGTATAATAACAGTATAACATAACAAGAAATGATTTCATAATTGAGAACCTCGTTCTCTCGTTATCTGGTGTACCTTTGTTCCCTGGTGTTCAATATTGACCTCTTATTTTTGTAGTAAAAGACCTGGGGTTTTGCATGGTTTTGTCAGAGTTATTGACATTGACTTAGTAAAAAATTGCAATTTTTAACTTTTGTCGCACATATCGCAAAAATATTTGACCTAGAGTCATGAAACTTTACAGAAATCTTGGTCAGCATTTGTAGTTGTGCACCTGGAGGTTTCTTGAATATTTAATCAGAATTTGAAGAGTAAGTCCCCGTTACAAAAAAGTTTCAAAAGTTGTGTCATGTGTACCTCTAAAAATGCTTTTGCTAGAATCAACAAACTTTACAGGAATGCATGTGAAGCTGTGCACCTTGGGTTTTTGCATGTAGATTATTTTAGTTTTGAAAGAGTTATTGCCCTTGAATTAGTATAAATTTACAATTTTCAAATTGTGTGACGCTCAAAAGGTATTTGACCTTAAGCCATGAACGTTTACAGGACTGTTGGTCAGCACATGTAGTTGTGCAAAACTCGGTATGTCAACATTAGAAAAAATCGATGTTGTTTTTATGCCCAAACCATTTAGGGGTAGGGGGAGTCATGTAGAATTTCCTTTTGTCTGTCCCCCGCTGCAGTATGTCAGTAGACAGTGGAATGTGGATGTACCTGTGTCATACGGACACATTTCTAGTTTTAATCAGGTACGGCATGTGATGTCATTTAGCATTGAGATAATATGAATAGTATGGATAAGAGTTTCGAGAAACATTATGAAGCCGCATATTTGCATTTACAATTTTGTTTAAATACTTGCATTATTAGGTCATATAAACATTTTCATCTTTTATTAATTTTTATATCACACAATTTATAATCAGTTCTATTTTTGAATTCGCAAATTTGAATCAATGAAATGCGAATAATCGAACATGAACACATTTACTAGCTTTCGTTTAAAATGTGCATATCCAACCATAATAAAAATAGAACCTTTTTACATTGCCACTATTTAAATCCAATGACATTATAGCCTTTCCATATCAAAATAACATAGCCCTCAATATAGATTGATTCAGTTATTTAAGATAATGGCGGACACGAGGCGGTCTGCCGCTGCACAGTTTTTCACGGAGGAGGGAGATCCTGATGCGGGACCTTCTGTTGGTTCCGTTTATGATAAAGTACGTGATATCTATTTAAGTTTTTAATTTTGTTTCATTTACTTTCAATTGATTTCTTATTTGTGTGCCTTGCTTTTATAAAAGGGAGACGATCTAATTTATAAAACTTCAAAGGGAAGGTAACTCTTGCTATTAAAAAACCTCAACCCCCGTAAGGCTGCAGGACCTGATCAAATGTTAGACCCATTGTGCTCAAAAATACCAGTAAAGAATTAGCCCCTATAGTGTCCAAACTTTTCCAGAAATCACTGCAGTCCAGCACTACCAGACATCTGGAAAATGGCAAAATTATGTCGCCCCTGTCTCTAAAAAAGGTAGCAAGTCAGACCCAGCCAACTATCTCTCTTACCTGTATCTTGTGTAAAACCCTGGAACACATTGTCTCCTCCAGTATAACAAAGCACTTTACTAGATCAAACTTGTTCTATGAATTGCAGCATGGTTTCCGAGAAAAAAGTTCATGTCAATCCCAATTATTAATGCTTATAGATGATATCCTACAGTCAGTAAATCAGAGAAGCCAAGTAGACTTAATCCTTCTTGACTTCTCTAAGGCCTTTGATATGGTCAGCCATGAAAAATTTCTATATAAGCTGCATTTCTACGGTATTAGGGGTCAAACTCTTAAATGGATCAAAGGTTTTCTTGATAACAGGTCACAGTCAGTGGTGGTAAATGGCTCCACATCCAGCTCCATACCAGTCTCCTCCGGTGTTCCCCAGGGCTTGGTCCTCTTATTTCTTATATACATCAATGACCTTCCTGAATATGTCCAATCCTCTAAAGTCCGCCTGTTTGCTGATGACACGGCCATCTATCTATCTCTGACTGTCGCTTTTCATTCTAGCTTACTACAACATCATTTACATGACTTACACCAACTTGAACAATGGGAGACAAAATGGGACATGCAATTTAATCCATCAAAATGCCAGGTTATCCAAATCACAAAACGAAAAACAGTCATTCCAACACAATACCTTCTACATAACACCACATTAGAAACAGTTCCATCTGCAAAATACCTTGGCATTACAATATCAAATGATCTAACATGGAACAAACACATAAACAACATCACAACAAAGGCGAATCAAACACTTGGTTTTCTACGCCGAAACATCAAAGTTCACTCAGAAAGGTTAAAGTCAACCGCATACAAGACACTTGTCAGGCCCCAGCTTGAGTACAGCTCCACAGTCTGGTCCCCCTACACAGGAACTCTCATTGACCCGATAGAGTCCGTCCAGAGAAGGGCTGCTAGGTTGGTCAAACATGACTTCGGCCGTATGTCAAGTGTCACTGACATGTTGACTTCCCTTCAATGGAGGCGCCTTGACGTTCGGCGTATTGACAATGCCTGGTCACGTTTCACAACATCTTGCATGGCCAGTAGGCTATCCCTTTCCCAAAGTATATCATCCCTCTTACAAGATCATCTAGAAAATCCCATCTCCATGCATTCCAACAAGTCCAAACTAAAACTGATTACTATAAATATTCATTTTCCCCAAGAACAATAGTCCACTGGAATGCTTTACCACCTGATATCATAAACTTGTCTGGCCCCGAGTTCAGTCTGGCTGTAAGCCGGATTGAACATACGTCTCCCTAAAATACCTGTTCTGTTTTTAACCTGTTTTTAACAATATACTCATTTCCATTACTTTTATATTCTTTTATTTCAGCTCTTTTACTAACATTCTTGTCAGTTGACGCGTGTCAAGTCTAGGTCCCCAGCAGGGGTCTGAATATATGGAAGATAGATAGATAGATAGATAGAGAAATGTTTATTTGTAGTGACAAGCGAGGTTTTAAGCAAGTGTAAAATGGTGAAATAAAATGCTACCTTGACAACCGGCAGTTGTGATTTTAAGTGAAATTAAATGGGAAGCGTTACAATGCAGAAATTCTATTCCATTAGGTCCGTAGTCCGTACCAATATCTGTTTTATGATCCCCTAGCTTAAGTAAATGCCAGAGGGAAAGCTTACCAATATTACACCCATTGACAGTCTCTATATGAACTATGTAAATAACCGAGGTATATCGGGTGAAAAAACACAAGTTGTTTCCCTTATCTTTGAGTAAAATCAACATCTCTAATGCTAAAACAATGTAAATTTAGCCGTTTTAAACCGCTAGTTTGGGGCGATTTAATGTCCGATTTTAAATTTTTTTACACCAATGAAAAGCTTGTGCTCTTAGCTATGTCTCAGTATATATTTCAACACATTGTTTGACACTGAAGGTATTTAAATTTCCGGTTAGACCTAACACAAGTCAGACCATTTTACATACGTTGTATACAGTGAGATATGCAATCAGTTATATTTACTTGTAACTCTACTGATAAGAATAGCCTGTCGTCTGCTAGTTCGGAAACTTGTCAATTCGTGTATAGTGTTTTTTATGTTGATTATATTTATAGTGTTTTTATGTTACATGTCTGATGCCTTTAAAATATAAAAAGCGGCAACCCAGAACTACATCCACACAGCACTACGCCAATCGGTGTTATGACAATGCAACAGTTATATCACCAATGTGTTTTGTCCAATGCAAAACAGTGCCCCTTTAGATGGAGACACTGTGTTTTACACATGTTCTAATTTTAGCCGGATGTAGTATAATAAAATGTGTCATTCTGTAGTAAATCATGCATTTAATTCAAAGTCACATATATAAGACTCCGCTGTGAGGTGTGTATTGAAATATGCTGGAAGGAACACTTACTTGAATTTTTTGAAATCAAGTGGCATGTAACTCAATAGATGGAGAATAACATGCTACTGTTTTTTGGTATTAATTTTATCAGGCGGGGCTGATATGTGCCAAGTGGATAAAGATGAGGTATCCTCCCTATTGGGCATGGTCTGTGGCTATCACCATCGCTTTGCCCCATGATGCCCTACAGCTTTTGCCTAGGGACCTTCTCCATATCATGGTAGGTCAGCCTCTTTTTCTGGTGCCTTGTGGATTTCACTCGGATCCTTGCAAGTTATTTTTGGATGTTGCCAGGGCAGACACCAACTTAATGTGCATTATGAGCTTAATCCACACCAACTTAATAACACCAGCTTAATGTGCAAAATGAAGTCAGTGATGGGTAGCTGACCTGATTTTGCCATAAGTGCTGGTTGATATTTTTTCTTTGAACTTACTTTTTTCCTCAGGAAGTTGATGAAGACTTGTTCTTTGTGAAGTACTTCACATAGACCTTTGGTATGTTTCTAGGTTTCTGCTCTGTTTTACAATTGTTTTACAGACTGACTTTAGTTTATTGGCAAATGTTTTATTGTACCATACAGGGTTTGGGGTGACCAAAGCAATACCAAGGCATGATTCTGGCCTGTAGGTCTTGCTCTTTGCCCACTGCCTTGCTCACAATGCTGTGGAAATATGTGATAGTAGTCCACACCTTCAAAGCATTGGTTAGATGGATGCACCTTTGAGGATTTGACAAGGAGACATTAATATTCTTGATATTGAACTTCAGCCCGGCTTGTCTTGTTACCTCTTGAAGGCACATCATCTTTGGTTGCCTATGTTGTTGCATGTGGGACAGTCTGCAAAATTGAGATCTTCCAGTTTCCAAGTTATGATCCACTAAAGTCCTCTTGGTCTATCTGTTGTATTCTCAATACCTTGTCAATGATAAAGATCAAAACTGAGTGTAGACAATCTGTGCCTGATGAAGGTATTGAAAACATAGCATAAGGTGTTGCTATATATAGACTCTTGTAGCATGTTATATCAGTACTTGTTACAATCAAATATATCATCATTTAAAAGTCAATGCCAGATTTTCTAAGATGACATTTAGGGGCGACTGTAAAAAAATAAGATGACATTTGCTATTATGTAATAATCTAAGAATTTTTATGTTTCAGGTTGTTGATTTATTGAATCAAGCATCTTTGATGTCTAAAGATGCACAAAAAGTTGGCAATTTGAAGCAGGTAAAAGTGTTGATCAGTTTCAAAAAGAAAGAACATCATATAATTTGATAATTAAAGATATTAAAACCTAGTTTTTCTCTCAAAATAATTGTTTTTGAGGTTTTAAATTTTTTAGATGATTAATGAAAATGTAATGACATATTTATACCCCCGCACAACAAAGTTGTAAGGGGGGTATACTGGAATCAGCTTGTCCGGCCGTCCGTCGGTTTTTTCTTGTCCGCCCAATAACTTAAGATTCCTTTGACCCTTAGTCTTCAAATTTGGCATGGAGGTTAGTCATGATTAGTAGATGACCCCTATTGATTTTGAGGTCACTAGGTCAAAGGTCAAGGTCACAGGGGCCTTGACTTCAAAAAGCTTGTCCGCCCAATAACTTAAGATTCCTTTGACCCTTAGTCTTCAAATTTGGCATGGCGGTTAGTCATGATTAGTAGATGACCCCTATTGATTTTGAGGTCACTAGGTCAAAGGTCAAGGTCACAGGGGCCTTGACTTCAAAAAGCTTGTCCGCCCAATAACTTAAGATTCCTTTGACCCTTAGTCTTCAAATTTGGCATGGAGGTTAGTCATGATTAGTAGATGACCCCTATTGATTTTGAGGTCACTAGGTCAAAGGTCAAGGTCACAGGGGCCTTGACTTCAAAAAGCTTGTCCGCCCAATAACTTAAGATTCCTTTGACCTACAGTCGTCATATTTGGCATGGAGGTTAGTCATGATTAGCAGATGACCCCTACTGATTTTGAGGTCACCAGGTCAAAGGTCAAGGTCACAGGGGCCTTGACTTCAAAAAGCTTGTCCGCCCAATAACTTAAGATTCCTTTGACCCATAGTCTTCATATTTGGCATTGAGGTTAGTCATGATTAGTAGATGACCCCTATTGACTTTGAGGTCACCAGGTCAAAGGTCAAGGTCACAGGGGCCTTGACTTCAAAAAGCTTGTCCGCCCAATAACTTAAGATTCCTTTGACCCACAGTCTTCATATTTGGCATGGAGGCTAGTCATGATAAGTAGATGACCCATATTGACTTTGAGGTCACCAAGTCAAAGGTCAAGGTCACAGGGGCCTTGACTTCAAAAAGCTTGTCTGCCCAATAACTTAAGATTCCTTTGACCCACAGTCTTCATATTTGGAATGGAGGCTAGTCATGATTAAGTAGATGACCCCTATTGATTTTGAGGTCACCAGGTCAAAGGTCAAGGTCACAGGGACTTTGACTTCAAAAAGTTTGTCTGCCCAATAACTTTAGATTCCTTTGACCCACAGTCTTCATATTTGGCATGGATGTTGATCATGATTAGTAGATGACCCCTTTTGATTTTGAGGTCACTGGATCAAAGGTCATAGGGACTTTGACTTCAAAAAGTTTGTCCACCCATTAACTTAAGATTCCTTTGACCCACAATCTTCATATTTGGCATGGATGTTGATCTTGACTATAAGGTGGCCCCTATTGATTTTGAGGTCACTGGGTCAAAGGTCAAGGTCACAGGGACCTTGACAAAAAAAAGCTTTTCTTCTCAATTGCTAAAGAATGTCCTGTCCGCAATGTATTGATTTTGACATTTTCACATTTGAAGCATGTAGAATACATAACTTAGCAATGCACTGGCTTAGTAACCTCAGATTTGGCAGGGAGGTTGTCCTTGAGCTCTAAATGGCCACTGTTGATTCTGACAAAGTGGTATGCGGGGGTATTCACGCCATGATAGTGGCAGTTCTAGTTTATTTAGAAAATGGATCTATTGTTAAGAGTATACAGTTATATGTTTGATTTACAAAACATTTTATATATCAGGTACAAGAGTTGATTATTCACAAAGATTCTAATCTGCTGGACAACTTCTTTGATGTAAGTGTTTTTTATCTGTTATTTTGCTATACATGAACCTTGACTTGTCCCACTTGCCTCATCCCTTCTGTAGGTTCAAATCCTGCCAGGGGCTTAACTAAAACACTAGTTATAAAGGGAGAATATTTTTCCGAAACATTAATTCTGTTTACATACAATATTCATGTGAGACATTCTGTGTTACAACTCTTTAGATAATCAACTATAAGAATATAGAATCAATATAATTTGACTGTTGATAAATTTTATCTTAATTCATAAGCCATTCAATGCACAGTTACTTCAATATCTTGTATGTCATTGCAGGAAATGATAGCATTTCAAAGTGATAGATCTGTAGATGTAAGGAAGTATGTAGTAGGATTTATGGAAGAAGCTTGGTAAGTGAATTTCATCACAAAGACTGTCCCAATCTTTACACTAAATATGTGACAGTAAAATTTTGTATCTTCAGTTATATATTTTAATGTAAGAATGATGTAATTGTTTCTTTAAAATCTAATCTATTTATGAGAAATGTATTGAGAGCTTACATTATTATGCAATTAAAGCATTTCATCTAGAGCTGTATCTAGAATATAGTACAAACATACTGTATTCTGTTTATTGGGCAGTTTTATATTTCACCTTAAATGGAGTAAAATCTTAACTTGTGCAAATGAACATTGTGTATTAAGTGACTTTGTTCAACATGACCAGCTACAATGTGTCATTATTTTATTAAATTCTAATATCTAGTTAGATTATCACAGTAGTACAAAAGTTATATACATATATTAATGAAGCTGAACAATTTGCACACCTAATGAGAGATTTATTTTTGTCTGAAAACATCATGTAGTAGAAGATTGCTTGCAATCTCTATAGTATGCAATACATTTATCTCTACATGTAAGTAAATTTGTTGTTTTGTCTGATAGTATAGATTATTTATTTTGACAGTAAGAAAGATCCAGAACTATTAACAAAAATAATGCCATGTCTGCAACATTTGTTGAATGATGAAAATGTCAATGTACAGAAGAGAGTCATCCTCACTCTGTCCAGTATCTATAAAACACTAATCATGGTAAGTCTATAAATAAACTATCAACCTCACTGTCCAGAATCTATAAAACACTAATCATGGTAAGTCTATTATATTCTGTCATCCTTGTTTTGTCTAGTGGCCTGGTGGTATAAAGGTGTCTGCATGTCTAGCCCAGGATCATGGGTTCCAGCCCTACTAGTGTCATAGCATCATTACTAGTTAGTTACAGTGTAACAGAAAACAAATTTGAAAGTTGATCAGATAACCTGCAAGGTTTCTCCAGGATCAAGCATTAATGAGCAAAATGATATTATTGATACACTTTGAATGACTGTAAATAATTTCTGCACAATACCTTACAGTTTTAACTGTCTCAGTATCTTGTAAGATACATATCATTTTTGACATTCAAATATTATTCATGATTCCAGTTCCAATCTTGTGGTGAAATCTGTATATTCTGAACAAAGACTTCAATGTATTTTAAACTATACAATATGTTTTTGTCACTGTTCAGAACTGTTCACTATTTAGGGGAGAAGATGTGTAACCTGTCGGATAGTTCAGTCGATAGAGCAGCAGTACGTTTTTTTCGAGGATCACGGTTTCGAGTCCCCGTCAGGCTGCACATTTTTCTCACCCTGTGACATTATTTATTAATATTTGCTATATGTTGATTGCTTACAGTGGTTAGCAAAAAGTAAACATCCGACCCCGGAGATGACCCAGGTGTGGGATATCATGGCCATGATGAAGAAATCACTATATGATATGCTGGATTCTGAAAATGATGGGTAAATATTACTATAAGTTTATAAGCACTTTACTTTGTATTAGAATATACTGATGTGGACGTCTGTTATTTATATTTTAAAGTTCTCAAAACCTTAGGTTAAGGTTAAATAGTATCTTTTTATATGACATGAGAGTTAGATGCTTGGAGAGTTAATTTTCTGGTGTTACTTTGTCTATCAAGCAGTATCAACTATAGTCATCAATTAACTTAAACAAAAGCACTTGCTTGCTTTCATGGTATAGTCATCTTCAAATTATATTTTTGTTACCTTTGATGTACATGTATATATGGATATGAGAAAATAAAAAAAGGTAAAATGCCTAAAACAATAGTGCTAACTAAACAATCACAGGTTAGTAAATTGACAAATGCTGTTCTGTTTATCATTTTAAATAATTTTTTATGCCCCCGGGCATATAGTAATTGAACCGTCCGTCCGTCTGTCCATCTGTCCGTACGAGGTTAACCTAGAATGGCAAGTTGGATTTTTCTTAAGTTCTACCTGTACCAATGGCTTCTTAGTTTACACACTTACTAATCAATACAAAGTACATGATCTGGTCAAGTTACATAACTATGGCTTCCATATTTACCAAGTTATTGCCCTTTTCAGCACTTAGAAAATGAATTATGGTTAACCTAAAACGGCAAGTTGGAAATATCTTAAGTTCTATCTATACTAATGGCTTCATAATTTCAACACTTATCAATACAAAGTACATGATATTGCCAAGTTATATAACTGTGTCATCCATATTTCCCAGTTATTTCCCTTTTTTCACTTTGAAAATAGGGCCTTGTCTGGTTAACCTATTCCGAAGGTTGGATTTATCGTAAATTTCTCTTAATTGCTTAATTTATTTAATGATATCTTGCATATTTGGTAGGTGGATACCTTTAATGGTTCTCTAATTTTTTGTGGTCTCTAGGGTCAAGGTCACTAGTTTAGAAAATAAATTTAAACATTTTTGCTTATACAGCCTTTATTTTTTGGTTGATGTCTTTCATGTTTAATACAAACATGCCAACAGGGGGCCTCCTTCTTTGGGTATAGTAAGGGGTCATTTGGGTTAAGGTCAATGTCACCAATGTCAAGGTCACCAATGTTAAAAATAGATTCTGACATTTTTACAGGTGTATTAACCATATTCTACAGACAGATGTCAAGGTCACCAGTGCTAAAAATAGATTTTTACACTTTTGCTCATACAGCCTTTATTTATTGACAGATATATTTCATATTTGGTAGGAAGATAACTTGCATGGTATTCATCCTTTTGATTGGGGTAGGGTTCAGTGGGTCAATGTCACTTGTGCAAAAATAGATTTTTACACTTTTGCCCATACAGGCTTTATTTATTGACAGGTGTATTTCATATTTGATAGGAAGATAACTTGCATGGTATTCTTCCTTTTGATTGAGTTAGGGATCAGTGTGTCAAGGTCACTAGTGCTAAAAATAGATTTTTACACTTTTGCCCATACAGCCTTTATTTATTGACAGATATATTTCATATTTGGTAGGAAGATAACTTGCATGTTATTCTTACTTTGGATGGAGTTAGGGGTCAGTTGGGTCAAGGTCACAAGTGCTAAAAATAGATTTTTACACTTTTGCCCATACAGCCTTTATTTATTGACAGATTTATTTCATATTTGGTTGGAAGATAACTTGCATGGTATTCTTCCTTTGGATTGAGTTAGGGGTCAGTTTGATCAAGGTCATCAATGCTCAAAATAGATTTTAACATTTTTGCCCATACAGCCTTTATTTATTGACAGGTGTATTTCATATTTGGTAGGAAGATAACTTGCATGATATTCTATAGGTGTCAGTGGGTCAAGGTCAAGGGTGCCAAGTATAGATTTCTTACATTTATATATATTTGATAAAGTTGAATATTTATCACTTCACAAGTCATAGCAATGACTTGGCAACTTATATATTTCACAATTACAAAATCCCATGACTCTGTCAAGCTATATAACTTGTGTTTACAATTTTTTGGCAATGTTTCTGTCCATAACTGAGTGAATGGGTAAACTTTTTTTGAAATATTGCTACTGACAAGAATCGGAGCCGGGGGCATTTGTGTTTAACAAACACGGTCTTGTTTTTATATGTATTATAAGAATAAACTAATAAGTTTTGAAAGGTAGTATTCTGATCCAAATGATTCTACAATAAAGAATTAACATAATATGATAAATGTTATTTTATTACAGTATAAGAACACATGCGGTGAAGTTTTCTGAAGGGATCATTTTGACATTATCTAGGAAAACCTCAGTGAGTAGAATGATGGTTTACTTTCAGTCTGTAATATCTATTTAACATAATCTTTATTTTATGTAATAACTTTTTTTTTAAAGACAGGGTGTTTGAGAAATAAAAATGCCCGATAAACTATGTTGAATTTTTCTCTGTATATAAAAACCAAATACCCTATAAGTGGTTTTTTCTGCGGTGACTTTATTTCTGCGTTTTCTGCCCGCAGAAATAAAAACCGCAGAATATTTCACTCACCTGCTACGCTATGTGTCCTGCATTATGACCTGTTTCGTCTACAGTAATAACGACTAACGGATTATAACGATAAGCGGGTTTTCAAATTGTATTAAATTGCTGTAGGCTAAGTATGTAATCTGTGTTTGTAAGGACGTACCAATTGTAAATGATGCTAATTTAAGAATAAAGTTATTTCAAACCATTTCAACCCTTATAATGCTAAATAATCGTCGTTAACTTTGTCATCTGATTTACGGTCAACTGTTATCAACTTTTTAATTATAGAATTAAAGATACAACTGGGTTATATTTTTCACACTTCATTTCACGATGATCAAAACCTGCATACCTTTCTATTGTTGCGCATTATATTTGTTTGAAAGCAAACAGTATATTTGTTTGTAATTACTTTATTGTTTTGTGGTGACGAAGCTAAACAAATGTGTACGTGCGAAAAAATAGGTAGAGAAATGTGACTTAGACTTTGATGTGTCCAAAGAATGTGCCGCAGAAATAATGTCCGCAGAAATAAAAACATGCCAAAATTTGGAAAAATCGCAGAATTTGGAGCCCGCAGAAAAAACCCACTTATACTGTTAAAAAAAATGTCTGCTAAAGTTAGTTGAAATTTTACCTGTATAAATACCAAAAAATTGATTTATTCCCCATTTGTATATTATGAAATGATGTATATGTTTATAATTTTGCTATAGGATTCCGAGGTACCAAAGATCCGCGGAGAAAATGTAACCTTAGATAGTATACCTGAATCAAGTAAATATCTGAAAGTTCATAAACTAGAAGAGGAAGGAAAGAAAATGTTTGATGCTCTACTTCAGTTCCAGGCTTCACCACACATTTCTAGGTAGTTCTTGTTTTAATTGTGTATAATTTATATGTATTGTACTGTACTAATTAATATACATTGTAGATTTTCAGAGAATACTGCATTAATACATTTGTTTAATACTATGTGTTTGCTTAAACTAATTTATTCAAGGATTATTGTTAGTACTACAAATTATATTTACTCTTGACACCATACTCCTGTTGATGTTAAATCACTACAAGTATATGGAAGAAGAGGGTAGTTTTCTTTTCATCACTGAGTGTTTAAATTGTTAGTTTAATGACTTGTACCATTGATTAAATCCTTGATTTCATGGTAAACTGCTTAAAATATCTACTTTGGTATACCTTAAGTTTTATTTGACTGGTTTTATATTTACAATTTACAGTATAAATTTGATGACTGTTATGAGCAGTTTATGTAATATTGCCAAACAGAGACCAGCTTTCTTTGGTAGAGTTGTACAGGCATTTGAAACATTACATGGTGAGTAATACAAGTCTTTACATTTTTGACACAAATGAAAATATAATGTTTTTCTAAACAAGTGCCATGTTTGGATGAATACATGCTCAAACAGGAGCAATGTTCCAATCAATGGCATGCCACAGTGAAGCCTTGAACTTTGTAACATTTGTAAATTTGACCCTGTGACCTATAAGTGGTTCTTGTTGGTAGAGCTCATCAAGGTGCCTATGAAATTTGTAGGTGGAAGGACTTTAGTTTCATGGTCAAGATTAAAGCAAATAAAGCTATATATTGTTTATCTGCTGCAAAAATTATTATTTGAATTTTCAAAAAGAATACTTACCTTTTTGAATAAGATAATGTAAAATAGTGCCTTAAAAGTTTACTTAATTATAAGCTTGCTTTTTTACATAAAAAAGACTGCTATTTATGTGTTTTTGTATACTTTATTTTATTATGTTTTTTTTATGAAAATGAATTCGTTCATTGATGCATTTTCTTGTTCTGCAAGTGTTTATGCAAACAAATTTTATATTGTCTGTAAATATTGAGATAAAACAGTAAAAGGTAAATTCTTTATTTTCAGTGAATCTTCCACCAACATTGGCTAAGTCACAAGTAAGCAGTGTTCGTAAGAATCTCAAGATGCAGATGTTGTCTCTGCTCAAACACAAGTGTGCTGTAGATTATCTACCTAATATAACAACACTACTTACTGATCTTGGGGCCACTCAATCTGAGGTCAGTGATATTATCGTGTGATGTATTTTATGATGTGACAAACATTTTGATATGCTAAATATATAATCATAAAAATATTGGTTAAAAAAACACTTAATGAATAAATATTATCCTCTAGAAATACATTAAGAAGACAGAAAAGTGTTATAATGGTGAAGATAATGACAGTATTAGTTATGTTGATGATGTTAACCCTTTATAATGAGGAAGATAAAACTTTTGACAATGAATGTGTTCTAATGATTGTATTTAATGATGTTCTTGTGTTTTTGATCTAAGGTGTTGTGAAAAAAGTTGGTGTAATTTTTATAGTTTTTCATTCAATAAAGATTAATGGTGAACTGTTTTGTTTCATGTAGGTATTAAAAGTTATGCCAAAAATAGATGAGTCCAAGAAAAGGAAGAGACAAGAAGCTGAATCTTCAACGAAGAAAATAAGAATAGAAAGGGTCAGTAAAGCTGAATATTTTAATATTTCCATTGTAAACTTTTCATTGTAACTTATCTTTAAACATCCTTTATGATAACTTATAGCTTCCTTAAATTTAGTTGAAATTATTGACAGTTTTAAGACTTGATTCTTTAGCTAATGTAAGATTACAGTGTTATCATGTTTATGATTTACTTTGATAAACAAATTAGTTTGCATTGAATATCTTTTTTGATATTGTTAGTAAAGCCCTATATTGAAATATGATTGTTTTGAAACGGTGAGATTGAAATATAGAAACAATTGTTTCAGAAGTTTTAAAATGTTGGAAATTTCTTCAATTGATAATTTGTTTACTGACAGGATGATGATGATGATGATGATATAGGAATGACACCATGGACTGATCGTGCCACTGACCAGAAACTAGCTAATGTAAATTTGAGACAGACTGCTATAGATATAACAGCAGATGATTTGGCTCCGAGACTTAATGCTAACAACGTGGCAGATCTAGTCCTTATAAGCATGGTGAGATATAATACATAGTTATTTTTTCTCTATATGTATTTGATCAAAGATTGTTATTAGTGTACACAGAATGTATGTGGTTTGTGCTGTACACAGAAACATTCAGCAGTAGACCTGGAAAACAACCTAATCAATGTTTGTTTGCTTACGAAAGATAAGGGTAAATTAGACAAGATATTACGAAAACAAATGAAGAAAAGAGAACTGGAGCACAAAATAAATGTTTAAATGGTTTACTGTATTTATTGTATAAATTCTGCTAATTTCAGTCTTGTAAGTTCTTTTTCAGAAATATGAAAAAGTAATACATGTTAAAAAAGGAGTTTGTTTTATGACACTATTTCTTTATTTTGTTTTATGATACTATTTCTTATTTTGTTTTTACCGCCTCCGTGGTCGAGGGGTTAGAGTCGATGACTTCTAATCCAGTTACCTCTCTGGCGTGGGTTCAATCCCTGGGAGATGCTTTGGTAGTTTAGCGCGGAGGAAGGTAGTCTAGTACTGGTGTAACTCTCCAGGAACGATGGTTAGGAAACTACTCTCCTATATGACTGAAATACTGTTGGGCAAAGGCGTAAAATGAAACAAATAAACAAACAAATTTTGTTTTATGATACTCTTTCTTATTTTGTTTTATGATACTATTTCTTATTTTGTTTTATGATACTATTTTTTATTTTGTTTTATTTTACTATTTCTTTATTTTTTAAAGTTTGACATGGAAATTCTTATGTATTTCATGCTACAGTTTTATGTAATAAGGGGATCCACTTTGTTTGTTGTCAAACTCAGTTTGTTGTGTTTTGATAGGTAATGTTACCAGACACGATGCCTGCCCACTTCCAGGCTACCTATACCCCTATAGCAGCTGCTGGTACAGATGGTCAGGTCAGTCACATGGCCAGGCTACTAGCTACACAGCTCACTATGGCTGGCATGGGAAAAGGTGTGGCAGAAGTACAAAGAGAGGTAACTTATTATTCCAGACCTTGTCTTGATTAGATTGTAAGATTAGCCTCGTGTTTCTTTGGATAGAGCATAAAGACATTTTCATAACATAAGTATCTTCTTATGACAAAATGTACATAAGTAAAAACTTCAAATTATACCTATTAATCTGAAGAGATAAACAGATATAAGGACTGTAAGGTAAAACATATGTTTGTTTACAAGAATGGATATATCTAGTGAAAAAGGTTCTGGTGTGTCCAAGGTCAAGTGGTTAGGTCTTTGACTTCACATTAACTGGCTTTCGGTTCAAATATTATCCAGGAACTTTGGATTCTTTAATGTTAGGAGACTATCTGACGCTTTTAATGAATACTAGTGCCTGTTTGTGCCTAAAATAATGCGTGGAGGAGTACCTCTCGTCTTCCTACATCATTTAATCTGGAAAGCTGCCATATAGTCACCTTAGTGCAGTAACAGAATAAGTTCATCTAGATTTAATAGGAGTTAATCATTTATTGCACTGGTGTGACTTTAAACCTAACCAAACCATCTATAAGAGATTATTGGCTATATTGTTAAGGAATCATGACTGAAAACTGGGTTTCAGCAGACATTATCTTTGTTTATATCAATCATCACAGGCTGCTGAGAAGAAAACCTCACCATTTGATGGCAGTGAGACACCAGCATTCCAGGGAACGTCCCCAAAACAACTCATTTCTACCGTTGTTGGTAAGTCATTATTTAATCTTAGTTTTCCTTCATTATTGTGAGACTCAGAAGGTGCAATGATCCAACAGGACCGGTATTTCAGCTACTGCAAAACTGTTGAATTGTATTCCAGTACTTTATGAGCAACACTAACATGCTCAAATATTATAAAATTTCTGATTCCCCAGTCAAAGGGATCCATCCATTCTATTAAAGTACAAGTAATAGATCAAGATACTCCTTTGATAACTCTTTCGTTATATGTCTTGCTGAATTTAAACTGTGTGTATTCAACAATAACATACTTGGCATAATGCCAGCAATGTCATTCTGGATCACACTCAAGTGTCATACAGTTTTTTAGCTCACCTGAGCTTGCTCAGGGTGAGCTATTAGGATCGGTGAATGTCCGTCGTACGTCCACAATTGCTTGTGAACACACTAGTGGTCACACTTATGACTCAATCATCATCAAACTTTGTCAGGATGCTTGTTAAGTCAATTGCTCGGATGAGTTTGAAACTGGGTCATTTCGGATGGAAAACTAGGTCAAAGAAGCTAAAAATAGAAAAAACCTTGTGAACACTCTAGTGGTCACATTTTTGACCCAATCATCATCAAACTTTGTCAGGATGCTTGTTTAGATAATTGTGCAGATGAGTTCGAATATGGGTCATCTCTGATGAAAAACTAGGTCACAGGAGCTATAAATAGAAAAACCTTGTGAACACTCTAGTGGTCACATTTTTTACCCAATCATCATCAAACTTAGTGTGGATGCTTGTCTAGTCAATTGTTTGGATGAGTTTGAATATGGGTCATCTCTGATGAAAAACTAGGTCACAGGAGCTAAAAATAGAAAAACCTTTTAAAAACTCTAGTGGTCACATTTTTTACCTATTCATGATCAAACTTTGTCAGGATGCTTGTTTAGATAATTGCTTTGATGAGTTTGCACATGGTTTATCTCCGATGAAAAACTAGGTCACAGGAGCTATAAATAGAAAAACCTTGTGAACACTCTAGTGGTCACATTTTTGACCCAATTATTAAGAAACCTTGTCAGGATGCTTGTTTAGTCAATTGGTTGGATGAGTTCGAACATGGGTCATCTCGGGTGGAAAACTAGGTCACAGGAGCTAAAAATAGAAAAACCTTGCGAACAGTCTAGTGGTCACATTTTTGACCCAATCATCATCAAACTTTGTCAGAATGCTTGTCTAGTCGATGCTTGGATAAGTTTGAACATGATTTATCTCGGATGGAAAACTAGGTCACAGGAGCTAAAAATAGAAAAACCTTGTGAACACTCTAGTGTCACATTTTTGACTCAATTATCATCAAACTTGGTCAGGATGCTTGTCTAGGTAATTGCTAGAATGTCAAGCTCGAATATGGGTCACCTGGGGTCAAAAACTAGGTCACACTGCTCAAATATGGATAATCCTTGTTAACACTAGTGGTCACATTTTTGACACACCTGTCATGAAACTTGGTCAGAACGCTTGTCTAGGTAATTGTTCGGATGAGTTTGACGGGTCAGGTGAGCGATCTAGGGCCATCTTGGCCCTCTTGTTCTCTATCAGGTTGTATTTGTGATGAAATACCAGTGCATGCATTTGATATTGCAGAATTATGCCCTTTTACTACTATGCTTTTATTATACTTTGCAGCACAGTGAAAAGTGGAGCCTGCTGTCTTGTGCATTATATATTTAATTTTTCATTTCAATGTTAAAAGGCAAGAAAAAAACAGGAGCAAAGTAATGTTAAGAAAATATTTTTTGTATGAATTTTGTCTTTATAATTTTAGGTGGTCAAAGTGCAACATCTAAGCTAGATATTATTAACAAAGCCATGTTACCACCACCACCTTTGGTAAGTGAAGACGCTTTTCACATGACATGTAACACCCCCTATCTCTTGGTTGCCATTTAGGATCTTTCCCATTAAATTATATCATATTACATAATAATGAATCTCAATTATTTTATCTTTATTAAAGATAATAAAAAAACGTTTTGATAGTGAAGCTGGTTTAATGTTTTTCTTTACATAGATAAAATAATTTATTATCTGTTTGCTTATTTTCATGTTCTGTAAATTAGATTGAATAATGACATCCAGAGGCTGCCAAAGGGAGATAAATGTTGTAAAATTGGAACTTTTCAGCTATTTTTGTTTAACACATGCATTGTAAATTAAAAACAATAAGCACATATCTTATTGTAGCAATTTATGTGATAAAATGTAACATAATTCTCTTTGGAAGCTGCTGCATTATTCTACATTATTTATGATTTTATCTTTATATTTCATAATTTTATCTTTATGATTCACAGTTTCCTTCCAAGCGTGTTGTAAAACATTTTAAGTTATCAGCTGTGACTAGACCATTAGAAGAGAATGAGTCCGAGGAGTTATCTTTGATGGCACTGGATAGAGTTTTAGCTTCTGAAAGTAAGTTTCTCATTATATCTACCGATAGTGTATGTGTTTATTAAACATAATAATATACAGTTTCATAATTAAAATAAATCTGAAAAGTAATATACTATTGAAAACGTTATATATATTATTGTTGTTTACATTAAGACAGTAAATACTTAAGGTTTTGTTTGTGTAGCTTATGTCTTGTTGTCTTGTGTCCAAAGATTTATATTTAATTGATTGTTTATTATATTCAGAGAAAGCAACAATGGGGAATGCATTGCATGCTCGCACCAAAATTTTATCATGTCTTGTTACCCAGTTTGGAGGCGAGTTTAAAGACAGTAAGTATAAACAAGTGTTCCTTTTGTGAGAACTTAATATAAATATTTAGTAAAAATGGTTTAAAGTTACAATAACTTCAAGATTGTTTTTCTTATCATTATTTTCCCCTCAAATGTAATGCTCTTGCAAAAAAGAAACCTGTAAACTTACATAGTCCAATAGTAATGCTAGAGGTTGTATTACTTGGTAGAACTGAAATATTGCAGGGTTGATTGATTAAATTAATTCTTGTAATAAGATGATATGATAATACTTTTGCCTGTGCCACCAAATTTGTCTCGATTCAATTACAGTAACTGCTTTAAATGTAATATTTCATAGTAAACATTGATATTAGTACATTGTATAATTGTATATGTTATGTTTACTGATAGATAACATTTTGTAATTGTATTTTTCAGTTATACAGAACTACATTTTCTCAGATTTACGTAACAGAATAGAACTAGCATTTGCATGGTTATATCAGGAATATGCTAACTGTATGAACTTTATGTCAACATCAGTGGAGGGTAACAAACATAACATGTCCAGTTATGATGAATGTCTCACTAGAATATTAAACAGTCTTATAGAGGTTGTTGATCAGAAGGAGATGTAAGTTATAACATTTAAAATAGATTATATTAAATGTTTGTACAGCAACAAGGCTGCAAGGGTTATAAACCCTGTAAAATAAGTTGATATTGAGTATCATCTCTCATAGAATGTTTTAAGTAGGATATTGTTAGAAATATAAAATGACATGAGAAAATAATTGTAAGGTTTTAGCTACGATGAATTAGATTTTTGAAAGTTTATAAAAACATCTCTGCTTATGATAAGGTAATTGACATTCTTGTTTGTTAAATAATTGACAAAAATCAAGAACACTTGCAGGGTAAGAGTGATTAGCTTCTATTGTAAATAATATATGAAATGGGCTTTATTTTTGTTTTCAGTTTATAAATTCAAAATTATAATCATTTTCTAAATAAGCACTATTGACCATTTTGGAAAACATCATAATGATGTAGAAATGTGTCAAAGAAAAAATTGAAGAAGGCATAAAATATTACATATTATAAGTAAAATGATAACAGATTTTGTATTTAACATATTTTTCAGTTGTATTAAATTTTGCCATTAATAATTGATATTTATATGAATTGATTTCAGGTTATTTCACCGAGTTTTACTTGAAGCCCCAGCTGTAACAGATAATGCCCTATATATTCTTAGAAGATTTTGTGTTGATGATGTAAGTTTAACTGTTATATTGTAGGTTCTTTTGAAGTTGAGTGAGAAACCTATTAATCTTTTCTATTATAAATGTCGTATCAATCTAGCAATAGGTGAACCTCCTGTTTTATTAATAACTACATAAAGCCAACATTATCATAAAGCTAAATAAAATGAGACCTTTCAAAAAAATGTAAATCAAGATTCACTAGAAATATTTTTGCTTTATATTATTGTTTAATAAACCGTCATACAAAGGAAAGTGATATATTTATTTCTCAGACACGTGTAGAATCAGGTTTAGAAACATTGAAAAAATTGATAATGACACGACCAGCCCATAGGTTACGATTCCTGGATGTTTTACTGGAGTTCACATCTAGTGATCACACAGAGGTAACAAAATACATGTTCTGTTTTCATGAATGATAATGATCAGAAGTTGCTTCTTCTGGTTAGTTGAGTTAAGAGCTGATATTATGTAATATCAGTCAGACACTAGTTAGTATCGGTCATATACTTGTGAGAAAGATAAACAGTTTTTTAGGATGCAAAAGATTGTTAAATTTGTGATTGAAATTTTGTGGTGAAGTTTTTTCACATTAAAGTCAGTTTGAAACCCATAAGAATTTCAGTTTATTAGATCTGATAGATTATTGAAGAAGTTTGTAAAATAAATATCCTCAGTTAAAATTGTAGGAAATGGTAAAGCAGTAGTTACAACTATTCCACATCAAGTACTAGATTATTTTATTTCTTTCATGATTTTTACCAATCTCAATTCCAGTGATAAGATAATTTTTATCAGATAACAGTATACCTGCAGATGTTGACTTTAGAACTATAGACCATAAGTCATTTATAACTGAAATATTTGTTTATTACAGCTGCGAAATCAGGCCATAACATATACCAAGAATTTGTATGAAACACAACAGGCACATCATGCTATTGAGGTAAACTATTTTACCTTTTATCATACATAGATTGTAAACTAATGTTTAAAGTAACCAAATGCAAATACAATTAATTGAATAAAAGAACAAGTTAGACTTGATCATAAAAGCCCTTCAGCATCCATTTCTTCAACTTAATGCTCATTACAGTTTATTTTGCAATGAGTAAGAAGCTACATTGGACTTGTAAATGGTTGTGTTGTTCAATAAGCTATTGTACTAAGTGTTAAATCTATTTAGGTTAACTCTTCATAGCTGGTTACAGATTGTCATAAACTGTTTCATATGATTTATTGATTGTTTTTTGTTGCAGTATTATGCTGTTCAGATGTTGAAATATTTATTGTTACCAAAACCATCTCCAGAATTATATGCTAAACTGAGGGGAAGGCAAGGTTAGTTTAGTGTATAAGTGGTATTATCTTTATAGCGCTTCTTTCATGTTTATTTTGTGTCATTTTCAATCTTTTATCTAAGTGAATAAAAAATGTAAGTTAAAAATTACACATTGTGGTAAAGCATGCAATCTAGCTTTATGCTATATTTTGTTAACCTTTATTCATGGTATTTTATAATTTCATAAGTTGTTTTCATACATTACAAAATACTCAGCATTCTTATAAAGTTATTTGATAATTGCAAGTTAAGAAGCAGTTAGGTAAAGTATGTGATGTAATTTGTATTTATTACATACAGAAGCCCCAGAGACATGGAATGATGATGCCATAAAGATGTCTTTATACTTGTACCTAGGTCTACTTCCATGTAACCATAAACTGATTCATGAGTAAGTTATCTTAGTTCTCAATGAATAACCGCATGTCTCAAATAAATATATGTCATACAAATACTGCAGCTAGAAGATCAAAATGTTTGTTTAAGTGTCAGCATAACTAACAAGTGATGCTAATCTATATAATATAGCTATAAACCTATTTGTTAATTATTCATTATTGTTTATGATAATACTTCATTTCTCATAAAATTGTATTTAATTGAATCTTGTGTTAATTATCTGAGGTAATTAGTTCAGTAAGAAGTGCATCAGGAATTTCTCTCCATTCTTCATGCATTTTATACCTCTACAAATTCTTATCATTTCAATCATGTTATATGAAAGTACATCATACATTGACATACATTAACATATTTGTAGAGAGAGCAACTATTCTAATAACATACTTTGAAATATTGTGAACATTTCAGGTTAGCAACAGTTTATACTTCCACAAATGCAGATATCAAAAGAACAATATTAAGAATGTTAGAAGCTCCTGTAAGTTTTCCTGCTTAAAATTTAAATTTTCAGTTTTATGTAGATCTACTTGTATTAGGCATATCCACAAAAATTGAGAAATAAGTAAATTGATGTAACATTCATGATAGTAAGAGTAATCTTGCTTGATAGTCTTCATCAGTTATTTATGATTATAACAGAACAGACAGACAGAACATACATTTTATTTTATTCTTGTACATAGTATATTGTCATGCAAAGTGATTTACATGTCACATGGTCATGACTACATAAATATGCAATATAAGAATCAGGTAGGAGAAAATACATTTGACTGTGGGAAGACAAGATAAGTTATTAGATAATATATACTAATTCTAATCTTGATAAAACTTTTATTGAATACCATATTTTACTTAGTGAGTCTAACCATTCCACTGAAAGTAAAAATTATATACATCTTTTTTTGTACCAGGTGAAGGGTATGGGAATGGATTCTCCAGAGTTGTTGTTGTTTGTGGAGAACTGTCCTAAAGGAGCAGAAACACTAGTCACCAGGGTTATACATATACTTACTGATAAAGGTATATCATTAGCTTATTTCATATTTTCACAAATCTTGTAGACAGAGCCACATATCTATGTTTAGTTAATTGTAGTCACTTCACTGGATGATCCCTGAGTTTTACTGAGTCAATAGGTTAAACATAAGAATTTAATGAAAATGTTATAGCATTTTTGGCCGGGTTGCACTGGTGCAAATCCGGGTTATAGTATGGTGAATGTTGGGCGGCGGGCGGGCGTCCGGGCGGGCGGGCGGCGGGCGGGGAAAAACTTTCGTAACAGTTTTCTCAGCAACTACTTATCACAGCCTTTTGATATTTGGTATACAGCATCAACACATGGTCCCATACTGTGGGATTCGATTTCAGGTCTGTCACTCATCTACTTCCTGTTTGCTGACTTAGTTAAATTTTCTACATTAATGGTCAATAGTAGGAAATTTTCGTAACAGTTTTCTCAGCAACTACTTATCACAGCCTTTTGATATTTGGTATACAGCATCCACACATGGTCCCATACTGTGGGATTCGATTTCAGGTCTGTCGCTCATCTACTTCCTGTTTCCCTATTTAGTTAAATTTTCAACATTAATGTTCAATAGTAAGAAATTTTCGTAACAGTTTTCTCAGCAACTCCTTATCACAGCCTTTTGGTATTTTGTATACAGCATCAACACATGGTCCCATACTGTAGGATTCGATTTCAGGTCTGTCTCTCATCCACTTCCTGTTTGCCGAGTAAGTTAAATTTTCAACATTTAATATGGTCAACAATAGGAAATTTTCTTAACAGTTTTCTTGGCAACTATATATCACAGCCTTTTGATATTTGGTATACAGCATTAACACATGGTCCCATACAGTGGGATTTGATTTCAGGTCAGTCGCTCATCCACTTCCTGTTTGCCGACTTAGTAAAATTTTGACATTAATGGTTAATGGTTGGAAATTTTGGTAACAGTTTACACAGCAAATTCTTATCACAGCCTTTTGATATTTTGTATACAGCATTATCACGTGGTCCCATACTGTGCGATTTGATTTCAGGTCTGGCGCTCATCCACTTCCTGTTTGCCGATTTAGTTAAATTTTGACACAATTAATGATCAATAGATAGTAGGAAATTTTCGTAACAGTTTTTGTGTCGCCTTGAAAAGGTGACATATAGGGGTTACTTTTGTCGGCGGTGTTGGCGGCGTCTGTGTCGTTGTCGGCGTCGTTGTCGGCGTCCCCTAAAGCTTGTCCGGAGCATAACTCAGTCACTATAAGACTGATTGACTTCAAACTTGGTATGCATGCTTCTTTCAATAACCCGAAGTGCAGTGCACAAGGACCGGTACTCTGCAGTTCTTATTTTTTGAGTTATTGCCCTATGTTAATTTTCATACTTTAATTTTGTCCGGGCCATTTCTCTTCAACTGAAAAAGCTATGGACTTGAAACTTCATAGGATGATAGATCTCATTATTAAGAAGTGCAGTGCACAAGAACCAGTACTCTGCACTTCCTAATTTTTGAGTTATTGCCCTTTGTTAATTTTCATACTTTATTTTTGTCCGGGCCATTTCTCCTAATGTATAAAAGCCATGGACTTGAAACTTCATAGGATGATAGGTCTCATTAAGAAGAAGTGCAGTGCACAAAAACTGGTACTCTGCATTTCTTATTTTTTGAGTTATTGCCCTTTGTTTATTTTCATACTTTAATTTTGTCCGGGCCATTTCTCCTTAAGTATAAAAGCTATGGACTTGAAACTTCATAGGATGATAGATCTCATTATTAAGAAGTGCAGTGCACAAGAACTGATACTCTGCATTTCTTATTTTTGAGTTATTGCCCTTTGTTGATTTTCATACTTAATTTTTGTCCAGGCCATTTCTCCGAAAGTATAAAAGTTATGGACTTGAAACTTCATAGGATGATAGATCTCATTAAAAAGAAGTGCAGTGCATAAGAACTGATACTCTGCATTTCTTATTTTTGAGTTATTGCCCTTTGTTGATTTTCTTACTTTATTTTTGTCCTGGTCATTTCTCCTCAAGTATGAAAGCTATGGACTTGAAACATCATAGAATGATAGATCGTATTGATAAGAAGTGCAGTGTACAGAAACTGCTGCTCTGCACTTATTATTTTTTTAGTTATTGCCCTTTGTTATTTTTCATATTTCATTTTTGTCCTGGCCATTTCCCCTAAACTACATTGTTCACAAGGCGACACATCCGACTCGCGGAGTTCTAGTCTCAACAACTTCTTACCACAGCCTCTTGATATGTGGTTCACAGCATTGACATGACTGTGGTCCCATATTGTGGGATTCCATTTCAGGTCTGATGCTCATTCTTTTCAGGTTTACCAACTAAGTTAAATTTTCAACATCAATGGTCAGACAGTGGTTGAAAATTTAAGTAACTTCACAGCTTCATGATTGTGGTCAGACAGTGGTTGAAAATTTAAGTAACTTCACAGCCTCATGATATTTTGTACACATATGCAACCCGGCCTTTTCTGTCTTTGACCCATTTTTGAATGATATAATGGTCAAATAAAACATACAGATATTTGAGAAAGTTTCTGTGTTTAAGCTTGTTAATTGGTATGTTTAAGATATTAACCTTAATTTGACACCTGGATCCTTACCATATTTTAACTATATGGATGGATAGTTTTGTGTCTCAAAAATTTTGCTAATGACAAAAAGTGGACATTTTTTGTGTGTGAAAATATAGGTAAAAAATTTCTTTCGTGAAATAGTTGAAATAGCACTAAAAATAAAGTCATTGATTTAGATAATTGTAATGAGCTTTAATTATTAATCAATTAACAAAAACAGCTATTGTTTAATTTAGATTTCCATGTTTAATTATGCTAATTAGATATCAAGACTTTAAATTGAAATAAGAAAATTGGAAAATTAATATTCAATGTTGTTTTTTTTTGTGTTTTTGTCAGTTTTAAAGCATTTGATTGATAACTTAAATTCAAATTACCAGTAGTTTTATAATTGATTAGTTTGAATTACAAAAAGAATAGAAAACAATGTCCTATACATGATTAAAGCTTGCATTTATATGAAGAAATAAAAATACTTATTAGCAAATGTGATGCAGTAATGATTTATTACCGATATTTTATAGCTGCCCCATCTCCGGAGCTTGTTGAACGTGTTCGTGACCTGTACCATAAACGTGTACCTGATGTACGCTTCCTCATACCTGTACTGATTGGACTTAACAAGGTTTGTATAGACTTTAATACCTTCAGTAAAAGTTGAACTAATATATTTAACAAAAAACTTCATAAATTTGATAGGTTAGTTCAGGGAAGGGTGGTGTGTTGTATTTGCAAAGTGACTTAGTGCACAGAGGTATTACTGTTTTTTATTCAGTTAAGTGACTTGACTTGTATTCATGATTGCAATATAACATGTTCTTAACTTGAAGAGCTCATCTTCATAAATAAAGCAATTAAAGCAGTCGTGATTTATGATGACATAATTATGTTCAAGTTAAACATGTTTATGAACATTGTGCATATCTTGAAAGATAATCAGGTGTTAGAAACATTAGTTTCATATGTCAATTACTAAATGAGCAATTTGCACTAATTATACTTGATACTTAGTTGTGTATTTACTACTTTAAATGCATTGAAAGTAATATTTTATTAATTATTTAAGAGCCCTTTTATTTTATACTCGATAAAAATGTATTTAACAGGTGATAATTTTTGATGTGAACATTAAATGTTGAGAGATCATGACATGTTATTTTGTGGTTTCTTTGATGGTCAATGGGATGTTTGATTAATTAACGTCATAGAATATAAAGATTTTAATGCAAAGAATAGAACGTGTTTTAACTAAGTATATGTTGATATATGTTGTAACATACTGTATTATTGTAGGATGAAGTGGTTGCAGCGTTACCTAAACTGATCAAATTAAATCCTGTGGTTGTAAAAGAAGTCTTCAATAGATTACTGGGAGGACATGGTATGTTGTAGTATTTTTGTATTTCTTCTTGACATGTTCCTGGAGAGATGTAGGGTGATATATGTATTTGTGATCATTTCTACACTAGTGTCCTTAATTTTATGAGTGAGACTAAAAAAGTGTTGGAGCACCACACTAAATACTGTATCCTGGTATACAGCGGACAAGACGCTTGAATGATTACTTGCTAAAATTTTGCCTTCTCACCCACCAAAATACATCTTAAGATGACCAGTTCATCATCTTACACCGGTTTATACGTTTATGAATGAAAAATTTAAGAATCACCAAAAAAAGCAATATTTATCTTCTTGTGATTATGATATATGTTAAGTGTCTAGAGGTGAACACAGTAGTGAGTTAAATCCAAATTTTATACATGGTTTATTCAAGGCACAGAATATGAATTAAATACAAAATTATTATGTTGCTTCTAATATTAGAAATAATGATTTTCTATAGAATTACAATTGGTATGAAAATGCCTTTCATTGTCATCATTATAAGATGTACAGCTAAACTATTTGTATAGAGCTAGGCTAGCTGTCACAGCCATGGAGTGTTACTTGACAATACTGTTAGTAATTAATGAGCCGCGTCACGACAAAGCCAACATAGTGCGTTTGCGACCAGCATGGATCCAGACCAGACTGGGCGGCTCATTTGATATTGTAACTGCTTGTGAAAATGTATTGTTCAGATTCAAAGCAGGACAAGTTCATATTGATTAAGATTTAAATTATTATTGTCATCATTATTTATCACTTTTATTGTTACAGGAGATGTGGCCTACCAATCACCTTTGACTCCTGCAGAACTACTTATAGCCCTGCATAATTTAGATGATAAAGTTGACATGAAAACAACTATAAAAGGTTTGACATTATCCAGAAATTTATGTAGCATTCTAGATTGGACATTACTTGTATATAGTTGGTATATACTACATTTGCATATTGAAGGGGTCATACACATTTTAAGGAATCTTATCACATGAACCAATTGTGCAGATTTGCTTGTCACAAACTTTATTAACACTTTATTCACCCATTCAAAAAATTTAATACTTATTGTTACAGTTTGAAATAAAGTACACTTTTTAGATATGACCTATGTTAAGGAAATTAATATATCTTCATTAATCTATGGTATTGAAACTGTTGTTAAACTATTAGTGGAAATGTTTTGTTTGAATTCTACAGCAACCAATCTATGTTTTGGAGAGAAGAAGATCTACACTCAGGAAGTCCTGGCTCTGGTCATGCAGAATCTAATGGAAAGATCACCACTCCCTACATTATTCATGAGAACTGTTTTACAAGCATTGTCCATGTACCCAAGGTTGCTTGGATTGGTTCTCAATATATTACAAAGGTTGATTTTAAAGCAGGTACATATACTTTATTCAAAAACTATTATACTTAATTAAAATTTCAATGTTGCTTGTGAACTGAAATATTGCTACATTAAAACTATATAGTTTACAGTACTTACAGGTGTCCTTATTAAAGTTTATTCCTGTGTTAAATTATGTTTATGTTTACCATATACAGGTATGGAAACAGAAGAAGGTATGGGAAGGATTTGTAAGATGTTGTCAGAGAACAAAACCACAGTCATTTCAGGTATTGTTACAGTTACCAGCAGACCAGCTGAAAGATGTGTTCCAGATATGTCAAGAGTTACAGGAACCTCTACTCAACCATGTCAACAAACTCACTGATACACAGGTTTTAATGCTAGTTTGATTGATTATTTTTCACATATTGATTTATACTATTGAAACAACATAGTTTTAATGCTCCCCAAATTTTTGTTGAACATATGGTTCGATCCTTCTGTGCATTTACTTACTGTTTGTCAAACATGGCTTCTATATTCATTAAGAGATATGTTAGATATTTGTTATACTCTAGGTACCAAACCTCTAACTTTTAGGTTGGTTTAAAGTTGATTTCATCAAGGTCTGGTCACTACTTCTCTCACAAGGTTACATATCATAGATATTTGATATGTAGTAACACTGCATTGATGACCTTTTACACGTTGATGGGATTTTAAGTCACTTGGGCTAATAGTTAATTTTTCTACAACTCATAAAGCGATGATTTATTGACTAGAATTTTAGATACTTTAAGTAATGTCCTTGCACAGACGTTTATTCTTGGATGGCACTGTAGGGAGATTGGCTAAAAAATCAATTTGTCTATGTACTTACATGTAATTTTCAGTGTTTACTGTCCAAGTGATTGTACTGTATTTGATATACAAAATAAATTTTGTTTTCCTTTAGTTAGGAAAAAAACGTTTCTGCCTTGCAATATTGCTTTAAAGATAAATTATTATTTTACAAGTTACATCCTTAATTCTTATCCATATTGTAAAATTGTTCCTATATTGCAGAGATCTCACCTTTCCCCAGCTATCATACAGGTGTTAGAGACTGACCCTATGATAGAGAAACGTGAGGCTGAGGCCAGGGCTGCTCAGGAAGCGAAGGAGGAGAGATTGAGGAAAGAGGCAGAGGAAATGATGAGGATCAGAAGGGAAGCTGAGGCGAGGGCAGCGCAAAAAGACCGGGAAATTGCTGATGTAATATACATAATCTTACTTGTATATGTTTTATTAAATCTGTAACTTTGTCACTTTGAATTAAGGTAATATGAAAACTAGGTTATAGCTTTGTATCAGCGTTTCATTATATAATATCTGATCATAGTTATCAGCCTTAAGTGAAAAAGATCAAGTTACATGGAGTTCTATTTTGATAGTGTAGAAAAAAGTATTTATTTCAAATAATAATGTGTACTCAAGGTTATTATTTACATGTATATTTTAAGATAAATCATACATTGTAAGTGACACTCATGTTAGCATTTGTTTCTTTTACAGAAATCTGAAAATGATAGGAGAAAAGACAAAAGAAGAGATGTAAGTTGAAGCTGTAAATTTTAATTTTGAATCATTCTTATTTCTTAAATGTTTTAACTATTTATCACTTGATTTGTTATTAAATTGACAACCAACATTCTGTGATTACTTTAATTGGGTTATTATTTTTGTGATTTTAAAATATTCCTTTTGTTACAGGAAAGAGCACGTTCAAGAGAACGATCAAGGAGTAGAGAAAGGGAGAGACCTTCTAAGGAAAACAGGGTACCAGCTAAAACAGATGTTGTAGATCCGAGTGAGCCAGTATTTATAAAACATGGAGGTGCTGGGGATCCGTCAGGTACTTCATTTACAACATTATCATTGTTACTATGGTAACAGTTGATGTTATATCAACTTTTTAGCTCACCTGTCACAAAGTGACAGGGTGAGCTTTTGTGATCGCTTTTCGTCCGGCGTCCGGCCGTAAACTTTTACTTTAATTGACATCTCCTCATTAACCACTAAGCCAATTTCATCCAAACTTCACAGGAATGTTCCTTTGTTGGTCACCTTTAAAAATTGTTCAAAGAATTTAATTCCATGCAGAACTCAGGTTGCCATGGCAACCAAAAGAAAAAACTTTAAATATCTTCTTTAAAAAAAATCCCAAAGAGCTAGAGCTTAGATATTTGGCATGAAACATCTTCTAGTGAGTGTCTACCAAGTTTATTCAAATAAAAGCCCTGGGGTCAAAATTGGCCCCGCCCCAGGGGGTCATTGATTTTCCCTATATGCATATAGTAAAACCTTAAAAAATCTTCTTTTAAAGAACCCAAAGAGCTAGAGTTAAGATATTTAGCATGAAACATCTTCTAATGAGTGTCTACCAAGTTTGTTCAAATAAAGGCCCTGGGGTCAAAATTGGCCCCGCCCCAGGGGGTCATTGATTTTCCCTATATGCATATAGTAAAAACTTAAAAAATCTTCTTTTAAAGAACCCAAAGAGCTAGAGCTAAGATATTTAGCATGAAACATCTTCTAATGGGTGTCTACGAAGTTTGTTCTAATAAAAGCCCTGGGGTCAAAATAGGCCCTGCCCCGGGGGTCATTGATTTTCCTTATGTGTGTACAGCTAAACTTAAAAAATCTTCTTTGAAAAAACCCAAATAGCTAGAGTTTAGATATTAAGCATGAAACATCTTCTAGTGAGTGTCTACAAAGTTTGTTCAAATAAAAGCCCTGGGGTCAAAATTGGCCACGCCCCGGGGGTCATTGATCTTCCTAATATGTGTATGGCAAAAACTTAAAAATCTTCTTTGAAAAAACCCAAATAGCTAGAGTTTAGATATTAAGCATGAAACATCTTCCTGTAAGTGTCTTCAAAGTTTGTTCAAATAAAAGCCCTGGGGTTAAAACTGGCCCCGCCCCAGAGGTGTCATTGTTTTTAACTATATGTGTATAGTAAAAACTTAAAAAATCTTCTTTTAAAAAACCCAATGAGCTATAGGTTATATTGTTTAGCACAAAACATCTTCTTGCGGGTGTCTACCAAGTTTGTTCAAATAAAAGCCCTTGGGTTAAAATTGGCCCTGCCAAAAGGGGGGGGGGGGCGGAGGTCATTGTTTTTCATTATATGTGTGTAGTAAAAACTTAACCTCATGAAACATCTTCTAATGGGGTGTCTTCCAAGTTTGTTCAAATAAAAGCCCTGGCGTTTAAACTGGCCCCACTCCGGGGGCCTATATACAGGTGAGCGACCTCAGGGCCATCATGGCCCTCTTGTTAACTTTATCTTTTAGGCAGAATGATTTGTATTGCAAAATTGTTCTTTTCAGTTCAATGTATTACTGTTACAAAGTTTTTCACCCAAGTAAGATATATTTTTGACATAAAAAAAGATCCTGTTTACATGTGTTTTAAATTAAGATAGAGTGTAATACAAATACAAAGAATAAAAAGTAATATATAATTATTTTTTAACAAACAGAACCGCCACGTGACAGAAGAGAAAGTAGAGGCGAAAGACGTGAATCTCGAGATACCAGGATGGCCGCTTTGAATCCGGAGCCAGGGGATTCTGTTGATCTCTCAGATTTACCTCCTGTACCAAGGAGGAGAAACACTGATATATTAAGGAACCCATCACCTCAGTTACGTAACCCATCACCTGGACACAGAAACCCTTCACCGCATGGTGAAGCCATGGATGTAGATATAACGGCAGTGAAATCAGAGCCAGAGGATAAAGGATATGAGGTATGTGGAGAACATTTATATTTATTACATGCCTTTCAGTGGACAGTGGAATGATATTTTAATAATTTCACAATGAAATTATAGAATATAATTTTCACAGAAGTCACACTTTTTATATTTCCCTTGTGAACACCAGCTCTGATGTTTCATAAAAAACTGCATCTGGTGTTCACTCTGTGAAATATATTTCCATCTAACATGCAAAACAAACCAATATCCTCTCTCTTTATATACATGTATATATTGAATGTTAATGTGGAAATTCTGATATGAATGAAAAATAAAACAATATTAGCCGGTAATTTTTTATGTTAAGAATATTTAAATTTTTCAATCTTGAAAAAGATCTTCAGATAATGAATATAAAATGTAACAAATGTGTACTTTATTTTCCTTCAGCGATCAAGAGGAAAGACTTAACAGTAACAATTTCAATAGACAGTGCTAACACAGGAGATACAAAGCATCAAATAAAACAAACTTGGATTTACACATTATAAATAATGTCATATGCTCCGAACAATTATTTTGAAAACAATTATACAAATAATGAAAGTGGGATATCTTGTTGAAAAAGTGCTTGATACAATTTAGTGCTGTATTATGGTGACTTTTAATTATCATATTTTTGTTGTGACTGAAATTGTTGCAATATCACACCAAGACATTACACAATGACTATATAATTTTGTTATACGGATACTTGTAAATAGCATTATTCATGTTTTTTTGATCATGCTTTAATGATTTATGTAGTATACTTTGTAAACAGTATAACTGTTGCATACATGCTGCATTGGAAACAATTACAAGGAGAAATACATCTGATTTCTTTTTTCCTTTTTCTTGGCCTAATGTTAAACACTTGTTGAGAAAATCCAATTACTAGGTTTGATTGGTTATATGAAATAATGTTCTATTAAACCCCCAAAACGAAGTTTGGGGGGGGGGGTATATAGGAGTCACCTGGTGGTTGTCAGTCGGTCCAGTGGTCTGTTGCATTTTCCTTGTCAGGAGCATAACTTGAAGACTTATTATTCCATACAACTTCATACAATAGTCGAGCACATATAGAGGAAGTGCAGTGCACACGAACCATAACTCCATCTTTACTAATTACAGAGTTATTGCACTTTGTTACTTTTCCTTGTCCGGAGCATAACTTGAACACTACTGGTTGGAATTCAAAACAACTTCATACAATGGTCAAGCACAATAAAGGGAAGTGCAGTGTACAAGAACCATAACTCTATCTTGACTAATTACAGAGTTATTACCCTTTGTTACTTTTCCTTGTCTGAAACATAACTTGAAAACTACTGGTTGGAATTCAATACAACTTCATACAATGGTCAAGCACATTAAGAGGAAGTGCAGTGCATAAGAACCATAACTCTATTTTGACAAATTACAGAGTTATTGCCCTTTGATACTTTTCCTTGTCTGTAGCATAACTTATAAAATACTGGTTGGAATTCAAAACGTCTTCATACAATGGTCAAGCACAATGAAAGGAAGTGCAGTTCACATGAACCATAACTCTGTCAAGAGTAATTATAGAGTTATTGCCCTTTGTTACTTTTCCATTGCTTTTTTTCTGTCCAGAGCACAACTTGAAAACTACTTGTTGGAATTCAATACAACTTAATAAAATGGTCATGCACATTCAGAGGAAGTGCAGTGCACAAGAACCATAACTCAATCTTGACTAATAGTGCCCTTTGGTACTTTTCCTTGTCCGGAGCATAACTTGAAAAGTACTGGTTGGAATTCAAAACAACTTCATACAATGGTCAGGCACAGTGAGAGGAAGTGCAGTGCTCAAGAAGAGTAACTCTGTCTGGACTTAATACAGAGGCAGTAATTCAATAAAACGTCATCAATGGTCAACCACACTGAAATGCAACATACAAGAACCACAACTGTCTTTAATTGCCCACAACCAACTCTTTCAATTCTTTTACAAGTTATTCTGTTACTAGTAACTTCTTCATTTCCGAAGCAGTCTTGCAGGGATATTAATCTCATTTAGTGATAGGTCTAGTTGTATTTAAAGCAAAATAAGAGCTATTCCACTAAATAAACTTTTATTGAATAAAGAATTTTTAAGAGCACATTTCAAAATATTTCTTCAGAAACTTGACAATTGCCTATCATTGGTGTTCTAACACAAGCCATGTGACCAAAATCTCCAAAACAAAAATTACAAATAGACCTGCAGTATTTTGAGGCTGTAATAATTGGGCCAAAGTATCCGTGAAACTTGCAAAGTGACCAACAGTTCATGTATGGGGCAGACAAAAAAAACCTAAAAAATAAGTTTTGAGATCAAATAACTTTGTTATATTAATTGATTAATATGTGACATATGAAACCTTTTTTAGAATTGAAACAGTTTTTAATCAAATTGCTATGAAAACAATTGAGACTTGCTTTAGATTAGATTTTTATGCCCCCCGGCATATAATGGCAGAGGCATATAGTGTTACCCTGTTCCGTCATCATCTGTTTCCGTTCATTATCTTAGGAACGTTTGCACACATTCAACTCAAATTTTGCATATGGATATGTCATGAGAAAATACAGGTCAAGTTTGAATTTGGTCATGGTTCGATGATTTTTGGCAGTTATGCCCCATTTACTTTGAAAATAATATAAAATTGTCAGTTTCCGTTCATTATCTCCCCAACAGTATTACACATTCAACTCAAACATGGATATGTCATGAGAAAACACAGGTCAAGTTCGAATTTGGTCATGGTTCCATGATTTTTGGCAGAGTTATGCCCCTTTTACTTTGAAAATAATATGAAATTTTCAGTTTCTGTTCATTATCTCCCTAACGCTATTACACATTCAACTCAAACTTGACATATGGATATGTCAAAGGAATTCACAGGTCAAGTGCGATTTTGGTCATGGTTAGATGATTTTTGGCAGAGTTATGCCCCTTTTACTTTGAAAATAATATGAAATTTTCAGTTTCCATTCATTATCTACCCAACGTATTACACATTCATCTCAAACTTGACATATAGATACGTCAAAGGAATTCACAGGTCAAGTTCAAATTTGGTTATGGTTCGATGATTTTTTGCCGAGTAATGCCCCTTTCACTTTGAAAATAATATGAAATTTTCAGTTTCTATTCATTATCTCCCCAACAGTGTTACATATTCAACTCAAATTTGATGTATGGATATGTCAAAGGAATGCGCAGGTCAAGTTGGAATTTGATCATGGTTCGCTGATTTTTGGCAGAGTTATGTCCCTTTCATTCTCAAAATAATATGAAATTTTCAGTTTCCGTTCATAATCTCTTCTAGGGTATTATACATTCAACTCAAATTTGACATATGGATACGTCAAAGAAATGCGCAGGTCAAGTTGGAATTTTGTCATGGTTCGATGATTTTTGGAAGAGTTATGCCCCTTTAACTTTGAAAAAAAGAAAGGAAATTTTCAGTTCACATTCATTATCTTCCCAACAGTTGTACATATTCAACTCAAATTAAAGATATGGATATGTCATAAGAATGCATTGGTCAATTTCGAATTTGGTCATGGTTTGATGATAGCGGACAGAGTTATCCCTCTTGAACTTGAAAAATCAGAAATTTTAAGTTTCCGTTCATTATCTCCCCAATGGTTGTACACATTCAACTCAAATTTGACATATAGATACATCTTAGGAATAAGCAGTTCAAGTTTGAATTTGGTCATGGTTCAATGATTTTGGACAAAGTTATCTTTCTTGAAGGTTGGAAAAATTTTGAATTTTCAGTTTCAGCACTCATACTTTTATGGAAATGTGTGTAGCCATTATTTTTATTAAGTTGATAACCTTCTGTTTATGTAATAAGAATATACGAAATAACCATCCATTTTAATGTCTGATAGAGACTGGATTCTCGATCGATAATGGACAGCTTCCCAAGAAGTGCTTGACAGATTTGCTGAGTAGAACCCTTGTATGAACATCATTGCCATTTGCTCATATACAAATGATCCGTTATGAACATCCTAAAAAAAGTTCCCTTGCCGAATTTGCTGGGCCATTTTAAATGCCTACATGTCTTTTACAAGATGTGCTGAAATATTAGCGTGGTATATTTGTGTCAGTTAAGCTAGGTCTGTAAACAACGTTCTTAACTAATTGATGCTAAACGCCAGATCATTGTATATAGTATCAGAGACTGTGTCTGTTTCTTTCTCTTATTCTTTGTGCAGTATTACCTTTGATTAAATGATGCACAGTTTATTTATTCTAAGACAGATGTCCGTTTTTCTTATTTTCACCTTCTTTTACTCATGATAAAGCATAACAAAAAAGCGGATGCTGGTCCTCTTGTCAAAAGATAACAACTATCTTAACAAAACAAAATAGGAAAATACATGCAGCGTTCTATCCAAAGTTTCTGGCATATCACATCAGAAAATGTCTACAGATTTCATATAACATGAAGTTAAATCTTGACTGAGCTTGTACATAATATTTATCTCTTTAGTCCCCTATGGTTTAACCGGAGGGGACTTTAGGTTTACCATCTGTCCGTCCGACCATCAGTCCACATAACTGGATCCCGCGATAACGCAAAAAGTACTGAAAATATTTTTATGAAACTTGATACATGTATATGGATAGATGGAAGTCTGGAGATTATGTACGTCGTTTTCTTTTCTTCCTATGTTGAAACTTTGGTAGCTATGGCAACAAATAGACTGAAAATATGGCTAATTTTACACATTAACTGAATCCAGTGAAACGCAGAAAGTACTGAATATATATTTTATGAAACTTGAAATATGGGTCAGTGTTCAAAAATTTGGTTGCTATGGTAACAAATAGCTTTAAAATATGCCGAATATTACGATATTTATGATTATTCAATAAGTAGCTAAAACATTTTTATGAAACTTGAAATATGGATAGATGGCAGTATGGAGATTATACACATCATTTTAATCGTATATTGAGAGCTGTCCTACTCACCAAGCGTCGGCGACCTCGTCAAGATTCCTGATTCAAGTTTTAACGCTTTTTCACAATTAGTCCTTTACTTCTTAAGATATTTACTTAAAACTTCAAATATATGATTCTTATTATTAACCACATCATATGTGACAAGGTTTGCAACTATAGCACAAAAATTATCAGAATTACCCTCCTTGAACTTAGAATTTTCATGAAAAAAGATGATTTTTTTAAACTTCTTCATTTCGTAATGTATCTTCTTCAAACTTCATAATTATATATGTGTCTTATTATCACTCAAATCATTTGAGAGAAGGTTCAATACTCTAGCTTGACTATTTTCAGAATCCCACTCGAACTTATAAATCTAGCATCCATAAAGATGTATCCTCCGAATGTCTGTCAGTTTGAATGTATGTTCCTAAAAACTGTTTCCTGAGATCACTTTGAAAGAACTTTCCAACAAATTTACTTAAAATAGAGAGAAGTTGAAACATTAGTTATAAATATTCATCTTGAGAAAATTGGATCTTTTGATTATCTCTTGTATAAACACAATTTCATTACTAGGCAGGGAAACTGAACATATTAAACTAAGAACTCCAAAAATTTATTTTCATTCATGTCTTTCATTCATTCAATGGCATAATTCAATAACCAATGGCCCTTCAGTATTTTGCTGGGGTTCTAACCGGTAGGGGATTTATCGATTGCTTGCAATACTATGATAATTGCTTGTTTTCTTTATCTTTGCTTTCTCGTTGTTATGATTCTTTAGCGGTTTTGGAGATCAAGCGCGGACAAGCTTATTTTACTCAAAAATTGATCATTAGGGGACCATAACTGTGACAATAAAAATGTAAGTGGAAAATCAAGATACTATAGACAATTGGACATGGTGACAAACAATCCTGTGAAGTTTCACGGAAATCCCCCACTGGTTTGGAGATGATGCACGGACAAGCCTATTTTACTAAAAAATTGACCATTAAGGGGCCATAACTGTTCCAAAAAATTCAAGCAGGAAATCAAGATACTATTCACAACTAGGCATTGTGACAAACAAGTTTCACTGAAATCCATCCAACAGTTTTTGGAGATGAAGCGCGGACAAGCTTATTTTTCTAAAATTGGACCATTAATGGGCCATAACTGTGCAAAAATATTCAAGCGGAAAATCAAGATACTATGCACAACTAGGCATTGTGAGGAACAATCCTGTGAAGTTTCACTGAAATCCCTCCAGCGGTTTTGGAAGTGAAGCGCGGACAAGCTTATTTTACTAAAAAAGACCATTAATGGGCCATAACTGTGCAAACAAAAATTCATGCGGAAAGTCAAGATACTATGCACAACTAGGCATTGTGACGAACAATCCTGTAAAGCTTAACTGAAATTTCCCTAGCGGTTTTGGCATTATCGGACGGAAGGACAGTCGGACAGACAAGGCGATTACTATATGCCGCCCTTCAGGGACATAAAAAATTGGTAAGATACCAAATTCACGTATGTTTCCTGTTAATATTTTTTCACCAGATTATAATCCCATCGTCCAATATATGATGAAAAGTTCTGATTATCGTAAGACAGCCATTGATAACATTTGCTTTCAAGAAAAGCGAAAACTTGCTGATTACAGAAACATTTCTAATGATATATGATGGACCTGATGTAGCTTTTTGGCATAGTTTGAAGCTTTGTATCTTAATATTTTGACCTGAGATAGAATTTTCACGGGAATGACGCAAATCTTTTTTATTTTAATAAATGAACATTAACATACTTTGATACTTTCCTTGTAACTTTAGAATAAAAAAAGGAACTAATTTTATTTGAAACAATACATTTATTACTGTTTTAAATGTAAGATTTCATAATAATTGCAGTTATTATCGTCAATAATATCATTATTGTGTCGCCTTGAAAAGGTGACATATAGGGGTTAATTTTTGTCGGCGGCGTCGGCGGCGTCTGTGTCGGCGTCGGTGTCGGCGTCGTTGTCGGCGTCGGCGTCCCCTAAAGCTTGTCCGGAGCATAACTCAGTCACTATAAGTCTGATTGACTTCAAACTTGGTATGCATGCTTCTTTCAATAACCCGAAGTGCAGTGCACAAGGACCGGTACTCTGCATTTCTTATTTTTTGAGTTATTGCCCTTTGTTAATTTTCATACTTTATTTTTGTCCGGGCCATTTCTCTTCAACTTAAAAAGCTATGGACTTGAAACTTCATAGGATGATAGATCTCATTAAGAAGAAGTACAGTGCATAAGAACCGGTACTCTGCACTTCCTACTTTTTGAGTTATTGCCCTTTGTTAATTTTCATACTTTTTTTTGGCCGGGCCATTTCTCCTAATGTATAAAAGCCATGGACTTGAAACTTCATAGGATGATGGGTCTCATTAAGAAGAAGTGCAGTGCACAAGAACAGGTACTCTGCATTTCTTATTTTTTGAGTTATTGCCCTTTGTTTATTTTCATACTTTAATTTTGTCCGGGCCATTTCTCGGAAAGTATAAAAGTTATGGACTTAAAACTTCATAGTATGATAGATCTCATTAAGAAAAAGTGCAGTGCATAAGAACTGATACTTTGCATTTCTTAATTTCTGAGTTATGGCCCTTTGTTGATTTTCTTACTTTATTTTTGTCCTGGTCATTTCTCCTCAAGTATGAAAGCTATGGACTTGAAACATCATAGAATAATAGATCTTATTGATAAGAAGTGCAGTGCACAGAAACTGCTGCTCTGCACTTATTATTTTTTTAGTTATTGCCCTTTGTTATTTTTCCTATTTCATTTTTGTCCTGGCTATTTCTCCTAAACTACATTGTTCACAAGGCGACACATCCGACTCGCGGAGTTCTAGTTAGTACTTGTAATGATTTGAAAAAGTATGCGTTTTTTCTTATTCTATAATTTTCTCAAATTGAAAACCCTATTCTTCTATACGGTTTGCAGATTCTATGAAATAAGCTGTTGAGCATGAATCGCCTCACATCATGATTTTGATCGATGAAGATAAGATTAGTTATATATATTTGTTTTGTTTCAAAAATTTACTAAGTCGGGGTTTGAAAGATTTTGTTATGGTAATAGTTAGGTGTATTCAACAGCTTCAAAATTCTTCAAGCTTACAGTCAAGATTACTCTATTTGACAGTTTGATTAATCCTTTTCTGGGAAGGAATAATTGGGTTGCTTTCCCTAAGGTCAAGGTCACACTTAAGAGGTGAAGTTTTAAAATGTCTTCATTTCGTGTCCGCTCAATAACTTTCAAACCGCTGAATTATTTTTTGAAATAACTTAGCACAAGTGATCATTATTATGAGATGATTGCACAGCGCAAAACTGAGTTGCAACCCTGAAGGTCAAGGTCACACTTAAAGGTAAAGTGTTAAAAAGTTTACATTTCGTGTCCGCTCGATAACTTTTAAACCGCTGCAAAAATTTCTAAATAACTTGGCACAAGTGATCACCATTATGTGACAATGTGCAGAAAAAATGATTTGGGCGCTACCCTCAAGGTCAAGGTCACACTTAGAGGTGAAGTGTTAAAAGTCTTCATTTCGTGTCCGCTCTACTTAATTTTTTTAAATAACCTCACAAAAGTGATAACCATTATAAAACAATGTGAAGAGCTCAATAATTGGGCTGCTACTCCCCAAAGGTCAAGGTCACTTTTAAATGTCAACTTTTGAAAAGTCTATATTTTTTATCGGCTCCATAATATTAATACAGCTGCAATGTTTTTAAGGTAACTTTGCAGAAATGATCACCATTACAACATTATATTCAGAGCACGACATTTAAGTCACTACCCTTTAGGTCAAGGTCACACTCAAAGGTCCAATGTTAAAACATTCTTTTCATGTCCCATCTATAACTTATTGACAATTAATGCCTGGCCCAAAACGGATAGGGATATAGGAATGCTCTCCGTCTGTCAGTCCTTCTGTCTTTCTGTCCGTCTGTCCGCCCGTAATACTTTCGTGTCAGCTCTTTAATTTTTAAACCACTTGTGCAGTGTGCAATAATTGGATTGCCATCCCAAGGTCAAGGTCACACTTTAAGGTCGAGTGTTAGAAAGTCTACATTTCGTGCTGGTGAAAAAGTTTTGAAATAACCTGACACATTAGTGATCATTATTATCAGTCGATGTGCAGAGTGCAAAAATCGGGTTGCTACCCACAAGGTCAAGGTCACACTTAAGGTCAAGTGTTAAAAAGTCTTCTTTTCTTGTCAGCTCCATAACAGTTAAGCCTCTGCAATGTTTTTAAGATAACTTGACAGAACAGATAACCATTGTGACACGATATGCAGATCCCAACATTCAGGTTGCAACCCCCAAGGTCAAGGTTTAATGTTCTTTAAAACTTTTTTACTTTATAATGCAGAATGGGGATTTAGCTGTCCTTCAGTCTGCCTTATTTACATAATATCTAGTCTTAGACTTATATTTCCTACATATAAGTTTTTATTTATAAGGATGAAATGTCTACCACCAAGGTTGAGAAGAGTAAAAGTGACCCAGGAGTACTGAAAAATGGGGTTGAACGTAAACAGATAACCAAGTCAGATACAGAAAATTGTAAGAGGCAGATTATTACACCAGATAAAGAAGATGGTAAAGGGCAGATAACTCAGATAGATAAAGAAGATGGTAAAGAGAAAAAAGTCAGTGAAAGTAAAAGAGGAAAAGGTATAGTAAATGTAAATGATAAATTAAGTTTTACTGATTAACTGTTTTAGATTGAATTTACAAAGAATAATTAGTGAGAATATACCAAGTATATGGAGATCTGTTCAACACACTAAGTGTTAGCAAGCAGAATTTTAATGAAGGTTTTTGTGCAGTAAAATATTTTTTCTGCAATATTCTTGATTACAGAAGCTATTCCTTTAAACTTCATTGTAACATTGTAAAGTTTTTTTTAACACCAACCCATCCTTTACATTTTGTATAAAAATTGCTATTTTACCATCTCTACATTAGTTCTGTGTCATTGTACCACTTTGGCATGTCTGACATCAGCCTATTCAACTTTCCAGCTTACGAGTAATTTTTACGGCAACGAGTTCACTAAATCTAAACATTAGCGGCACGAATAGTTCTCTTGAAATGTTTATAAGTTGACTGTTTCTGCTATGAAATAAATATATTTTGGTTAGATTATTCGTATGTGCATTATCATTTTCGTTATTGTAACCATTATAAATTTTATTTCAGTTGAATAAACTCGAAACCCAACGCGAATGAATATTACATGGCAAAAGCGCCATTTGCATTGCTCGACATTACATGTAAAATTCAAAATGCGCATGCCCTGTTTCTGAAGTTAGAAACTAGGTTTCCTGCTGTTACCCAGCATCACACATAAGGAGAGACTTATAGCTCTGTGGCTAAGATATATAAGCCGTCCTGTTAGCTCAATAGGTAGTGCGTTGGACTGTGAATCGGGCGGCCCGGGCTCGATTCCCGGACGGCGCAGGTCACTTTCGTTCAATGTAGCTTACTGCCATGATCCGGAGTGAAAATTACCAACACTAGGTATATCGGGGTCATGATTTATGTACATGAAATGTGAAGAAATTAGTTAAATAACGATAGTGATAGTATATAGATGCACTGACATTAGTTTATCATTAAGAATTAGATCGATTTATGTTTAAAATCGTCTTCTTAAGTTCAAGCGATGTCCGACCTAGACAAAAAGTACATTTTCACTTTAAAATTCGATCTATTTTCCGTACAAACTAGTCTAATGTTGTACATTCTTGTAAACAGAAATCATTTCTGAGTAGAGTGCACTTTATTAAGTGAAAATTGATTGAAAATTAACAATGCAGCCTGAAGGACAGATAAATGCCCTTCCGCAGCAGACATGAATGTGTACTTCTTGACCTTTAACAGACCATGACCTCGATGTTGTGCCATGTATATTGTAATGGTGATCACTTTTGCCAAGTAATTTCAAGTTTTTTAAGCGGTTTAAAAGTTATCGAGCGGACACGAAATGTAGACTTTTTAAAAATTACCCTTGTAGTGTGACCTTGACCTTGGGGGTAGCAACCCAGTCATTGCGCTCTGCACATCGTCTCAAAATGGTGATCACTTGTGCCAAGTTATTTAAAATCTTTTTAAAAGAGTTATCGAGCAGACACAAAATGTAGACTTTTTAACACTTGACCTTTAAGTGTGACCTTTACCTTGGGGGGTAGCAACCCAGTCATTGCGCTGTACACATAGTCTCATAATGGTGATCACTTGTGCCAAGTTATTTCAAACAATTTGCAGCTGTTTAAAAGTCATGGAGCAGACACAAAATGTAGCCTTTTTTACACTTGGCATTTCAGTGTGAGATTAACCTTGGCGGAAGCAACCCAAGTATTGTACTCTGCACATGTCTTATAATGGTGATTACTTGTGCCAGGTTTAAAAAAAAACAACGAAAAACAAGCAGTTAAAAAGTTATGGAACGGACACGAATTGTACAATTTTAATACATGACCGTTCAGTGTGACCTTGACCTAAGGGGTAGCAACCCAAGTATTACGCTTTGCACATTGTCTTATAATTGTGATTACTTGTACCAAGTTATTTTAAAAACGTTTCAGCAGTTTAGAAGTTATGAAGCGGACATGAATTGTACAGTGTAAATAGTGTGACATTGACCTTAGGGATAGCAACCAAATTATTGCGCTCTGCACATCGTCTTATAATGGTGATCACTTGTGCCAAGTTTTTTTTCAAAAAAGTTTTAGCGGTTTAAAAGTTTTGGAGCGGACACGAATTGTACAGTCTTAATACTTGACCTTTAAGTGTGACCTTGACCTCAGGGGTAGCAACCAAATTATTGCGCTCTGCACATCGTCTCATATTTGTGATCACTTGTGCCAAGTTATTTTAAAAAATTGCAGTGGTTTAAAACTTATGGAGCGGACACGAAATGTAAACTTTTTTAACACTTGACCTTTAAGTATGACCTTGACCTTTGGAATAGCAACAATATTATTGCGCTCTGCACATCGTCTCATAGTAGTGATCACTTGTGCCAAGTTAATTCAATTTTTTTTCAGCGGTTTAAACGTTTGGAGACGAAAGTGATACGGGAAGTGTTACGGACGGACAGACTGACAGACAGACACGGAGGCCATTTCTATAATCCCCTTCCCGCTATGCGGAAGGGGATTTATAAAGATATATGGGACTTAGAATAAGGTCGGGTGATAGTTCCGCCGGTGAAACTTTCTACCTTTAATTTACTTACAGTATATATGGATGACATGAAAACCACTTTCTTTTATGGTTTAACTGAAAAAAGGATGTTTTAAAAACATTTTGAATTGAAAGATATTTATCAAAAGTGCACGAACATGTATACTATCAAAGCCACGCAACGACTGTCTGTGTTTCCTTTCCCTTTATAATCATATCAAACCCTTAAGCAATTAAGGTCCTTCAGGCCTTTGATTATGATTTTTTACTCATTGTTTGCAGACAGGAAGATATGCAAGTATTTCAAACATGGTCAAAAATGCTGGAGGGGTACCAAGTGCAAATTGGCTCATTCAAAAGAACATGGGCAGCAAGGTATCATAATTTAATTTTTCATGTAATAAGAACAGAAGGTTAAAGGAAAAATTTAAGTTTTAGCTGAATGTTCTTGTGTCCATTTGTCAACAAGGGCAATTTGTTTAATCCCCTTCCGCAAAGCGCTCCATGTGTTCGTCTGTCCGTGACTTTATGGAAGATGTTAAATAACTTGGCACAAATAATCTTCATCATGAGACTATGTGCTTATGATATGCATGGCACAATATCAACGTCATGGTCTGTTAAAGGTCAAGAAGTAAACATTCTTATCTGCTGCGGAAGGGGAATTAGCTGTCCTTCAGACTGCCTTGTTTCATGTTGAACTGAATTCTACGTGCCAATAAAACGCACCTACATGTTTTACGATTATCACATTTTATTGATTTTGTTAGTTTAAACTGAAACTGTTATCAAGAAAAGATAGTATAATGAAGCAATACATATCCCACCTGTTCATTGGAGAATTGTAGTCCCCCATGATGTCTGTCTGGCTGAGATAAACGCACATAAACATTGGCTTATCTTGACATTAGCTACCAACGTACATTTCAAATACAGCTTACAGTATATTAATCGTTACTATGTTGATTTACAGTGGGTTACACCCATAACAAGTTTTTATTTTATCATACAAGTCCAGTGTATCTGAGGTAGTACGTATGTCTGATACAGCATGTGTTTTATTTTTATCATTTTTATATTGGCCTCTCAACCCTTACTCAGCTTAATTTCTTAAATCAACTTGTCCTGCTTCCTTTTATTTCAATTTTAGCGATGGAGAGATTTGAAGTCGATCAGCAGCAGTAACGAGCCTGGCTAGACTGCATGATGCTGATGACAAAGACTAATCACTTCAGGTTTTAGCAGCAGGATATACTTTAATTAAATGAGAACAAATATCAACAAGGCAAGGCAACGTTCACAACAATGATTTCCTCCAAGATTTAACACTTCAGAATCACTATTTATTGCGAATCGTTACCTTTTTAAAGAATAAATATGCAAGGTTGAACTATTTCATATCAGAAATGGTTGAAAAAATGTTAATGAAAATAATATTATTGTAATCACCTAAATGTGCGTCATTTAAATCATTGACAGAGATGAGATATGAACTGAATGCTCGAGAGATACCGAATAATCACAGACTCATGTTTGTAGTAGATAATAATAAGATAATCTGCAATAATTGTGTGTCATCTGCATTATAAGGATAGCTTTTCTTTAAATCATTTTGCATAAAGTATATTATTTGCTTCCACGGCAAATGTGGTCAGTATACAGATTTTTGAACACTTGCATAAAATGGTGTGTTATTCTTTTGTTTTGTATGCATTTTATTGTTTTGTATGCATATACATTCAAAGCAACATTTTAACGAAAATAACGTATCATGTTTCCTGTATGTTACAAAAGTAAGCGAACCTTCGAGTATAAATTACTAAAGACTGATTGCATGTAGTATTTGCCTTGAATCACGATTTGGCTACTTTAGAAGCCTTTGATTGAGTTAAAAGTCTGTTCATTTCAAGTTTGTATCAATATAATTAGGAATGGGTCAATAGGAAACTTTGTATCAAACCTCAAAAAGAGAAGTGTTTATATTTTGTAAAACAAAATTTGTTGATTAAAACAAGTTACTCATTAAGTGTAAATGATGCTATCATATGTGCCTGTAAGATACTGACATTGAATTCCATTCTATTTACTTCAAATATCATCATTTTCAACTAAAAATAATTTGAGTGAAAAATGATCATTACATAATAACTATGTTATATATTTATGTTAATATATGTTCATACATCTCACTGTTTTTGTAAGTTTGATTCCTTTCTAATACCTTTGAATAAAATAATTGATTATTAAACCAACTATTGAACCAATGCAACATCCTAGTCACGAATATTTCAATGGTCTAATTTGTAAAAACTCTCCTACACTTTTACTTATTTTATTTCAATATTAGTATGAAACGTAAACCAAAAAGAAATAAAAACAATATTGAGAATTATTTTTTTTAGCTCACCTGAGGACAATGTCCTCAAGGTGAGCTTTTGTGATGGCCCATTGCATTGTCCATCGTCCGTGCGTGCGTGCGTCAACAATTTCTTTAAACAACTCCTAAACCACTAGTACAAAATTGTTGAAACTTTGCAGTGATGTTCCTTGCATAAAGCTCTACCAAAGTTGTTCAAAGAATTAAATTTCATGAAGAACTCTGGTTGCCATGGCAACCGAAAGATTTTTGTTACAAAAATCTTCTTGTCAAAAAATCGAAAGAGCTTGAGCTTAGATATTTGGCATGAAACATCTTCTTGTGAATGTTTACCAAATTTGTTCAAATAAAAGCCCTAGGGTTAAACTCGGCCCTGCCCTGATTTTCCTTAACCCTTTCCCTCATGAGCATATTGTGAAAAATGACCGTTTTCATTGAAAAGCCTACTGTTACAAGTTCAAACTGCTATAAAACTATGAAAAATGCTTCAATACTAATCAAACTTGGCACAAATGTTCACTGGACCATTGCCTTTGTAACGACATGCTCAGTCTTAAATTTCCTGTTACCATGGCAACGAGGGGACATCTCAAAATTGCCAAAAATCACTATTTTGCCTGGATTTTTTCCATCAAAATTTATTTCAAAGTGCTACAACTTCTCAAGGGATTGAGATAGAGTCAAAGGCTTTTCAGCGTTGGTTACACGTTACCCTAGGATCGACCTGGGGTCATTTTTAGCCTCTCACAAGTCCAAAATTTTCTTGGCGATGAGGGGGACTGTCGCCCCACTCCAAACCCCCCCCCCCAAACAGAAGGGGGTACATCCCCATTCTGGCAACCCCCTGATGTATCTTTTGGATGGGGGCGGCGCCGAAAAAGTGCTCACTTTTTTAGCAACATTTCTCAAATGAAAACATGTGTTTGGGCCCAAATAGGACATTTTTTCACTATTTGAGGCCTAAAAGAGGGTGGTCGAAAGTGCGTTGTTTCGCGTATATATGAGGTAAAGGGTTAATGTATATAGTAAAAACTTAAAAACCTACTTGTGACAATCCAAAAGAGCTAGAGCTTAGATATTTGGCATGAAACATCTAGTCGATGTCCACCAAGTTTGGTCATATGAAAGCCCTAGGGTAAAAGTTGGCCCGGTCCCAGGGGTCATTGATTTTCCTTATATGTACTGTAAATCCGATATTTTTCGCGATGTTTGAATTTTCGCTATTTCTTCTGTGTTGAAAAGGGGCTCCACTTTGATCTTTTGACCTATTTCCCAGGTGAGCGATCCAGGGCCCTCTAGGCCCGCTTGTATACGGTATGTTATTATACCGGTATGTAAAACGATAATGAAATAGAAAAAACATACATTTATTTACTGGGTGCTTTCACATGAAATATTACGTTATTGCTTTAGACTTATTTGTGAAAAGAGACAAAAGAAATGATGGAACAATTTTTTAAAAAAAAATCGTGGTTTAGGAAAAAGTATGTTATTCTAATTCAGTCCGATTTTTTTCTAAACTCTCGAATAGAATTAATGTCATTTTTACTATAATTTCTTACTCTACACATCAAGATTAATACTAAAGTGTAAAGAAAACAAGAGAACGCAACTTATGACAAGGAGGAAACAGTCCGAATTTTCATAAATAGTAACGGTCAGTTTTATAGAAAGGTATAAATGTGTGTTATCTTTTTTGTTTGTAAAAATGATACAACAGAATAAACACATTTAAAAGAAACTTTATACCAGATACTAGTAATAGTTATATCATACTAAATTGTATTTGTGTTCTATAACATCAAATTGTATTACTCATACCTTCCCTTTTACCTATATGTCATTATATTTTCTTAAATTGTACACAGTTTGTTATACCTGACATGTGTTATTAATGGTCACGAGCTCGGAATTATTGACTTAATCCATTTGTTATTTGTTGATAATAATTAGTCAAAAAATCACGATATTACCAATCGAAGGCGGCATTAATTCTAATATTGTAACAGATGATTTGGTTAATGGTGTTCAAATTAGACAATCCATAAAAACAAAGTTTTGGTGTACGAATAATGGTATCGCCATTTCTGCAGCAAATATTTGTGGTTGATAGAGTGAAAGCATCAGGTAATGTAAATCCTTAGGCACTGATTTGTATCACATGAATTAAGAAACCCAATGGAAAAGGTATTTTAGTTTTGCATGTAAACCTCGTACAAACCTGCGACCCTCCTTGTTTAATATGCTTACCATTTGCACCACCTTCCCTAGCGCTAGCTTATCAAATTGAGTTTTAAAAAAATATAACTTTTGGTGTTTCTGAAATGTTAACATACACCGACTAGATATTTAGGTCTTTTAATAATGTATGAGACTGTTCAGTTTTCAACGCGATTTGAACTGAAAAAAAAATTTGGTATTAAACCAAATTCTCGTACGTTTCCTGTTAATATTTTTTCTCGTAGACTGTAGCACCAGATTATAATCCCATAGTCCAATATATGATGAAAAGTTTTGATTATCGTAAGACAGCCATTGATAACACGATTATTTCAAGAAAAGCGAAAACTTGTTGATTACAGAAACATTTCTAATGATATATGATGGACCTGATGTAGCTTTTTGGCATAGTGTGAAGCTTTGTATCTTAATATTTTAACCCGAGATAGAATTTTCTCGGGAATGACGCAAATCATTTTATTCTAATAAATGAACATTAACATACTTTGACACTTTCCTTTCAACTTTAGAATAAAAGGGAAATCATTTTTATTTGAAATAATATATTCATTGCTGTTTAAAAAGTAAGATTGTCATAACAATTGCAGTTACAAATGTATTATCGTCAATTATACCATTATGAGTACTTGTACTGATTTGAAAAGAGTATGCGTTTTTTTTAGAATATACAATTCTGTTTGGTTTAAAAAAGGAAAACCCTATCCTGGTATACGACTTGCTGTTTCTATGAAATATAACAAAAGTTCCATGTTGTTGAGCTTGAATAGCCTCACTGATTTTGATTGATGAAGATGATTTACGAGTCGAAATATGCCTACTTTCGTGTTTGATAGATTTTTGTTTTGGTTAAATTATAATGATAAAAAGGTGTATTACACAGCTTCAACCAAAGTTTAATTTCATATTGAACTGAATTAAACGTGCTAAGAAACGCACCTAATTTTACGTTTCACGATTATCACATTTTATTGATTTTATAAGTTTAAACTGAAAATGTTATCAAGAAAAGATAGTATAATGAAGCAATACATATCCCAGCTGTTCATTGGAGAATTGTAGTCCCCCATGATGTCTGTCTGGCTGAGATTAACGCCCATAAATATTGGCTTATCTTGACATTAGCTACTAACGTGCATTTAAAATACATTCTACAGTATATTTATCGTTACCATGGCAATTTACAGTGCGTTACTCCCCTCACAAGTTTTTATTTTATCATTTTAATTGTTACAAGAATACAAATCTAGTATGTCCGAGGTAGTACATATGTATGGTTTTACTTTCATCCTTTGACAAGAGTTTCCTTACCTTTCCCTGCTAAACTTGTTCAGCTTGCTTTTTTGGAACTGCGCATTCAATTTTAGCGATGTCAAAGCGGAAATGTTAAGTTGGTCAACAGCAATAAAGAGCCTGGCTAGACTACATGACCCTGGTGGCAAAGGCATATTATTTTCGGTTCCAGCAGCAGGGTAAGGGTTAAAAAAGAGAGCAAACATCACAACACTATAATTTCTTCCTAGATTTTATAGATTTGCTTCAGAATCACTTTTTATTGCGAATCGGTACCTTTTTAAGATATAGATATGCAGGGTTAAATTATTTCATGGAGTTAATGAAAATAATTGTAACCACCTAAATGTGCGTCATTTAAAGAAATGACAGAGATGAGATCATCAGCATTATTAGGATAGCTTTTAATTAAA